GGGACCCATAGCCTCGGAGGAGGCTATATATATATATATATATATATATATATATATATATATATATATATATATATATATATATATATATATATATATATATTATCGTGGGTAACTATTTATATCGGGATCTCCTGGTACGGAGGTACTGCTAAGTGAACAGTACATTAGGTGAAAGGAAATGCGCCCAAGCACTAGTATACACCAGAGAACAACCCACACATGGGAGTGGCGTCACCGACCCACACATAGAACCATCTACTCCTCGAAGATTGTACTTTGCTAAGAACCTTAAGTGGTATTGGTAACAAGGTTACCACCTCCTGAGTGGGAGCCGTGTTCCAGGACGCCAGCGGTGCTCGTCACTTAGGCTGGACGGTAGAGCGACCGTCTCGCTTCATGCAGGTCGGCGTTCAATCCCCGACCGTCCAAGTGATTGTGCACCATTCCTTCCCCCCCCCCCCGTCTCATCCCAAATCCTTATCCTGTCCCTTCCGAGTGCTCTAGTCATAATGGCTTGGCGCTTCTCCTGATAATCCCGCCCTTCATCCAGTACTATGACCAAGACGCCGGTGGAGGCACCGCCCATGGCACATAGAATAAATTACACAAGCAAATCATACAAATTCATACATGTTGTTCCAACTGTACACAAAGCCCTTGCCGATTTGGTGGATTAAAACAACGAATTTTTTTTACAAGTAAACCAACAAAAACATTAACATTGTATACGCATTAGGAACACACAGAACTGAATATTCCTCCCATTTATCAATTTAAATCTCAATAGGCTTCAGACGTTAAAATAATTGAATAGACATGCTATGGAGTGAGGTAATGAGGCGGTGAAGATAATGAGGCGGTGAAGATAATGAGGCGGTGAAGATAATGAGGCACTTAAGACGACAGTTTAAACGATCCATCTTATACTTACCACGTGACTCGACCTCCTTGGGGCTCTTCCTTAACGATTTCTTGCTTATTGTACCAGCCACACTACTAGTATTTCCGGTATATATATATATATGTTTGTCTTAGAGCGATTCCTTCGTGTCAACAGCCCGCACTATAGTCATCATGTTTACACAGTCACAAACTCTTGCAAAGTTATTAATTGTTGATGACGGGAGCGAGGCGGCTGTGAGAACAGTTGGCGGAGACGGGGAGCGTGTCCTCCCTCGACGGGGTGTGGCGGGCTACTGGCCCGGACACTCACCTGTTCCTTCAGGCATGGTCTCTCCCACACATGCTCCCAGGTGATTGGTGCTCCTCCCAGGCCCCCACACATGTTCCCAGGTGATTGGTGCTCCTCCCTGGTGCCCCACACATGCTCCCAGGTGATTGGTGCTCCTCCCAGGTCCCCCACACATGCTCCCAGGTGATTGGTGCTCCTCCCAGGTCCCCCACACATGCTCCCAGGTGATTGGTGCTCCTCTCTGGTGCCCCACACATGCTCCCATGTGATTGGTGCTCCTCCCTGGTGCCCCACACATGCTCCCAGGTCCCCCACACACGCTCCCAGGTGATTGGTGCTCCTCCCTGGTGCCCCACACATGCTCCCAGGTGATTGGTGCTCCTCCCTGGTGCCCCACACATGCTCCCAGGTGATTGGTGCTCCTCCCAGGCCCCCACACATGCTCCCAGGTGATTGGTGCTCCTCCCAGGCCCCCACACATGCTCCCAGGTGATTGGTGCTCCTCCCTGGTGCCCCACACATGCTCCCAGGTGATTGGTGCTCCTCCCAGGTCCCCCACACACGCTCCCAGGTGATTGGTGCTCCTCCCTGGTGCCCCACACATGCTCCCAGGTGATTGGTGCTCCTCCCAGGTCCCCCACACACGCTCCCAGGTGATTGGTGCTCCTCCCTGGTCCCCCACACATGCTCCCAGGTGATTGGTGCTCCTCCCTGGTGCCCCACACATGCTCCCAGGTGATTGGTGCTCCTCCCAGGTCCCCCACACACGCTCCCAGGTGATTGGTGCTCCTCCCAGGTCCCCCACACATGCTCCCAGGTGATTGGTGCTCCTTCCAGGTCCCCCACACATGCTCCCAGGTGATTGGTGCTCCTCCCTGGTGCCCCACACATGCTCCCAGGTGATTGGTACTCCTCCCAGGTCCCTCACACACGCTCCCAGGTGATTGGTGCTCCTCCCAGGCAACCACTCACGCTCCCAGGTGATTGGTGCTCCTCCCAAGCCCCCACACACGCTCCCAGGTGATTGGCGCTCCTCCCAGGCCCCCACACACGCTCCCGGGTGACTGGTGCTCAGGCTGCTCCCTCTAGCCAGAAGAAAATAAAATAAATCATGGTTCTGGTAGAAAAAAAAGTGGTTCTTTGCATAATGACTCGATTTTGTTTGTGAAAAAACTTTTAATTGTTAAGTATTACATGCTATATTTGTGTAGGTGACTTCTGAACACAGAATATGACTGCTGAACACAAGTTAAAGCGACTGTCAACGGGCTAGATTCACAAAGCAGTTACGCAAGCACTTAACATCTTTTCTCAGTCTTTGGCGGCTTTGTTTACAATTATTAAACAGTTAATGAGCTCAAAAGCACCAGAAGACTGTTTATAACAACAAGAACAGTTGATTGGGAAGTTTTTATGCAAATAAACTGTTTAATAAATGTAACCAAAGCCGTCAAAAATTGAGGAAAGATGTACCCCTTTCGTAAGTATTTGCGTAACTGCTTCGTGAATCTGGCTTCAGGTGAAGCTAACGCTCTATCAAACTAACTCTGATTTGTATATTAACTGGTCAAACAGGCAGGAAAATCTAACTCTGCTAATTACAGAGATAGCCAGACGTGACCAGGGAATATAGCGCAAACAAAATATTAATGAGAACTGAAGGAATGGCATGGTATATGTAATTAATCATAACGGCAATAATTACCAGCGTGATATTTACAGTAAACATTTGTTTGGTAAATCAGTAATAACGAAAAAAAAATATATCCAGCAACCCACACAAATTACGTCAGTGTTGCAATCTTGCTGATTACACCAACCATGCTACAGTGAATGTTGTACCATCATCAAAAAACATTTATGTACAAAATATAAACTGTTGTACATAGATAAATTTGCGTTGTGTACTGTGGAAATATCACAATACATTAAAAGTCCCCCTAACCTCTCATAGGTCTAATATAGGGAATCTTAGGTCTAATATGTGCAAGCTTATGCCTAATGTAGTACAAATATGTACCATACTGTTGCATTCATTCTCGGGCCCTCTGTAAAATCGACAGAACAAAATATGGATCTATTTTGTTGGTACAACAGTACTCATTTTAAACATATACTCATCTGTCGTATACTGTACTATTCGTTTATAAGGATGTGTTATATAAGTTACCTAATACTGCTGTTCAACACAATAGGCTACTGTTAATCACCTAGTTGACCTTAGGCTACTGCTAAGTCATATATATATATATATATATATATATATATATATATATATATATATATATATATATATATATATATATATATATATATATTCGGAAAAAATGGACTGTTTAATAAAAGAATAACACAAGTTACACAAAAAACTAATGATAAACACGCTGGCTACATTATAAAGCCACGCTAAAGCCTAAGCTAATATTTTCTTGATATGCCTATCATCTAAATGGTTTCTTTATTATATTTCTGAGCGACAGAAGTGTCCAGTACCCGTGTTCAACCCGGTGTTCAATATCCGAGTTCTCCTGTATATACCGATAAAATTATTGGTGAAATAAGTAAAACCAACATTTAATGTTTATTTTTTATAACCAGAATCCAGTGTGCTTATAAGGTACAAGAAACACTACAAGCCACAGATTACAGCCATGTTGAATCATGGTACAGATGATGTATATTGTTGTAACAGTCATATTACATAGCAGCCATGTTGAGTCATGGTATAGATGATGTATAATGCTGTAAGTCATATATGGTACAGATGATGTATAATGCTGTAAGTCATATATGGTACAGATGATGTATAATGCTGTAAGTCATATATGGTACAGATGATGTATAATGCTGTAAGTCATATATGGTACAGATGATGTATAATGCTGATGATGTATAACAGTCATATTACATAGCAGCCATGTTGAGTCATGGTACAGATGATGTATAATGCTGTAAGTCATATTACATAGCAGCCATGTTGAGTCATGGTACAGATGATGTATAATGCTATAAGGATCACGTGACGTACCAGTATTAATACATACACCAGTACAGTACTTAACATACAATAGTGTAGGTGTTAGCAACACGCTAAATTATACTTCCTATAAATTATTCAACGAAAAAGTTTAACATTGCAGATCTAGTCTCTTCTAAAATAAATATAAACTTAATCTAAATCAAAAACATTGTTAATTAAAATAAACCTAAAACTTAGTATGTCTGAACTAAACATATATATCTAAATTTTGTCGACGGTGAACTCACCAAAGAAATATAAGCATGTGGCAACCAGCAAAAGGTCACAATATGAAATAAATTTATCAACACTGCCGAATGACGCATAAATTTATAAGATTGGGATCTGATCTCGAACTGAGATGTGTTAGTGAAGGAAAAAGTACTGAAAGCTAAGATAGAAACACCAATGTGAAATCCTCAAAGGATTTGTTGGTATTAAATCCGGGAGATTTGTAGGTGTGGTGTTGAGCTTAAGGTCTATCTCCCTCGGGATGGTTATTAAGGTCCGGGCCAGATTCACAAAGTAGTTACGCCAGCACTTACGAACCTGTACATCTTTTATCAATCTTTGGCGGCTTTGTTTACAATTAATAAACAGTTAATGAGCTCCGAAGCAAAAGGAGGATGTTTATAACAATAACAACAGTTCATTGGGAAGCTTCGGCTTGATGTCCATAGGGAATGGAAAGGATGGAGGAGGTAGAGGGGTGGGGAGATGAAATTCAGGAAGAGGATGCGGGTGTAGAGAGAGAGGAGGTTTGAAAGTTCGGTGGCCTGTCCACCATGGGTTGACATTCATTGGGAAGTTTTCATGCTTGTAAACTGTTTAATAAATGTAAATAAAGCCGTCAATGATTGAGAAAAGGTGTACAGGTTCGTAAGTGCTTGCGTAACTGCTTCGTGAATCTAACTCCTGGGGAAACTAGGCTAAGCTTTAGCGTATATGCACCCAAAATCAGCGTAAATGTTTGGGTGTATATAGCTATGACCCAGCCAAAGGGTACACAATAATACTTCAAGTAGCTAGCAACCACAATTATTACATTAACATATAAATATGTAAATGCTAAATTGATGCAATATATAAAGTTTAGGTATTATATCACTAAATTGTAATGTAAATATATTAATACAATACATAAGCTCTAGGTATTATGTCACCATATTGAATATGTAAATTCTATATTATTGCAATACATAAGCTCCTCATAATGAATATACACACACACACATATATATCATTAGATTATATTGTCATCCACACCTCCGTGGAACACCTCACACTCCACGCGTGTGAGGCCGAATAGCTCGGTCAATAGAGACACTTGGGGTCACCGGTTCGAGCCTCCTAGAGCCCAGGTATATGGAGCATCAGATTAAATCTCTTACTGCATTGTTTAACGTGGCTTTTAAGGGGGATACACATTTATTATCTTCCATTAAAGTAATTTAAAATATGCAAACATTTTCTTTTTTAAAAGATTGTAAAGGGTAAAAACTTTAGGCTTCTTGTGCAATTCTTCGAGTAACTTTGTTAAAGTAGATCTTCTTAAGCCGTTGATTACTGCATTATATAAGTCGTGCTTTAAGGCTACTTTACTTTAGAAAATTATTACCATTTAATTAAATCTTTATATGTAATTGATCTCATCAGGGTGATACAGCCCGTCCTCCTAACTGAACGTCGCATTGTGACGTATACTCTCCCGGAGTGTACGTCAAAACAATTGTCGTATATAAAAATGGTGGCAGCTGGGGAAGTTGATATACTGTCCCGTTTTCTGTTTTGGGTCCTCTGTAGTACCACATCCTCCTGCACTCCCAAGCCACACTGTAGCACTACATCCTCCAGCACCCCAAGCCACACTGTAGCACCACATCCTCCTGCTCCCCAAGCCACACTGTAGCACCACATCCTCCTGCTCCCCAAGCCACACTGTAGCACCACATCCTCCTGCTCCACACTCAGTGTTGAAACATATCGTGTTTATCATACCTCACTGTCAGTTGGTTCCGTGCTCTCACTGACCTGACTAGATTATAATGTACTCACTGGTGAGGACTTGACTTCAAGACCAGGTGTGAACATTGTGTACTCTATGGCAGGAGGTGGGGGCGGGATGGGCGTGGGGGAGAAGAGGTGGGGGGCTTGGGAGCAGAAACGGAGGGGGGGATGGAGGAGGGGGCATGGGGGCAGGGGAGGAGGGGACGTGGGGGCAGGAGAGGGGGGGGCGTATTAACCATTATTACCATAACCGACATAATTTATATTTTCAGGCTTTATCAACTTATTCCAGGATTTGTGTAGGTTGTTATCTTCAACAAATCACAAGCTTCATGTCAAGAGTAAATGACACGTCGTTTTGTGCAAGCTTTTGGGTTCTCTAGTATTTTTGTCCCCTTGCGTCTTCAACCCTTGAAGCGTCATTCACACCGCCGCTATCTCACAAACATTGACATGAGTGCACACCCACGCCCGGGTTCACTAACCCTGGGCCGCATGACGACAGCTGCAGACAAAGCCCAACCTACGCCCGAGACGTTAATGAAAGGCTCGAAGAAAAATGTCCACTACGGGCTCACCATAGCCCGTGCTACTTGGAACTTTTTGTTCCAAGTAGCAAATCTTAAACAACAAAAGGCTCGATCACCAGTGCTGGAGCCCACAGCGGGACTGAACCCTGAAAAGCCCAAAGAGGAAATCGATGCAACAGGGGTTCAAAAAAAGGGAAGCTAAGTGAGCACCACCGGATCCCAAAGTGGGCAAAGAACGGCCAACCGGAGAAACAGCAGACGACACCTCCAGATCTCCCCCCTTCCCCCCTAGGGAGTAAAAAACAAAGCGATCAATAGCAGCCGCAGGATAAATGGACGCTGACCTGGTGTCCAGCTCTGACCGAGACAGTAAAGGAGCAGCGAGAAGGGCAACTGGGTCTTCAGAAGGTTGACCAGAAGGCTGAAACTGCTAGCACGGTATCCCTGGCTAGCAGACAGAACCAACGACTTGGGACACATACCAACCAGGATTCCAATAGGAGCCGAAGAGCTGGAAGAACCCCACAAATGGGCCTGACAAATTTTACTAACGCCAGATTTGGGTCGAAAGGCAGAGCCCGACAGTGATAGAAGGACTGATCTACCTAAAATCCCGGCCAATCCCTGGGTGTCGGTAGTACAGTTGAATTCGTTCTCGGTTCACAATTGGGAATCCTAGGTTCGAATCCCTGGTTGGACAGAAATGGATGAGTACGTTTCCTTTCACTTAATGGCTCTGCTCACCTAGCAATAAATAGGTACTCAGAAGTTAATCAACTTTTGTAGGCTTGCACCCTGGGAAGGTCAGTAGTTTGACCTTGGGACTACTAATAAACCTCCCGAAGGCCTATTTGTAGGCCTTCGTCATGTAGAATATGCAAAATGAATCTTTGTAAGGATGTAGGCCGGTGTTTAGGGAGTTTGGAAGTTGTTATCAAGCATCAAAGGGGGCACATGGGGACAGACACCCCTTATGACCATTCCCGATAACAACTAGTCACTCTGCAACGTTTGATGAGGCTATCCCACCAGCCCGTCCTGTTCAACAAATTTGTGAATATCAAGATTGAGACGTGCATTCTAATGGTTTGTGCATATTGAATGACTAAGTAATGGTAGACTCAGCTAAAAAAAGTATTCAAGTGACTTTAAAGAGGAATGAGAAGTCCTGACAGTAGACCACCTACTGCCAGGACCTCCTCTCCTCTTTCATCCTTAAAGTTATTTATATACACTCTTCACCAGTCTACCATCACCCAGTCAGTCTCAAACCATTAGCATACACGTCTTAATCTTGAGGTTTATAGATTTTTGGACACCATCTCTATTTTGGTATGTATTTTCTCTTAACGCCAAACGTTTCTCAAATTGTCCAGTTCCACTGTTCTAGCTCTCGATTTTTCGCATTCAACACTGCCGTCTGGCATCCGAACATAAGGGTTGGCATTGAGCTCCATCGTGCATCCCTCTAGTTTAATCTTGGATACAAATCTTTCATCCATTATATAAGATAAATCTTTTATAAGGGACCCTATCTAACGTGTCTTAGAAGCCTATAAACAAAGCCTATCCACCCCGTGTCTTTCTTGAGTAATAACAGAAGCAGATAAATTGTGGCTAAACCCTTCATGCAAACTGCACCTACTATCAAGAAGAAAGATAAATTGTTGTTTACTTTAAACCAAATTATTTGTTAATCGGTTGTTACACTTTGTGGTGACCCATTTTATTCGTAACGTTTTCTCTAACACCTCTACTACAATGCGTGTTAGAGATGAAGTTCAATAAAATAGGCCCTTGATCATCATCCTTATTCCCTTTCTTGTATAGAGGCAAAAATGCATAATGTCTGGCATATTGTAGATAACTATTGTATCTTTCGATGGCCAATTTACTATTTTGAAGGGATAGTTAGAAAACAATCAACATTGGTAAGATGAGATCTTTAGCGAATTCTCTCAATCGATGGGGATATGTTTTCTGTACCTCACTGCTTTGGTCTTTATCGCATCAAACAATAATCGTTTCACTTTTCCTCTGGCTATGTCAGCACTTTCCAACCCCAGAAGTTATTGTAAATCTTGAAATTGCTACTAAATGCCCTGTATTCTATATATATATCCGGTAGAAGCCACAATGTGCAGCCTCATGTATTTCCTGTTTTATAACAGTTCACTGTGATATTTTATCCTATGTATCATTCTTATTATATAACTTTTTTTAGATTTGAATAAGAAGATGAATTCTGCTTTAATCTTTTCAAATATTTATGTTACAAAACTCTGAACTTTCTCTCCAGACTTCAGTTTAAACACTACGTGCTAACTTGAATTTTTTCATATGGAAGATTGTGTAAGTAGACAAGAGATCTTACCTGATGACGGAGGTGCTGGTATTTGGGAGTAAGTTAGTAATGTGAGAACAAAAGTAACGTAAATAAATAAGAAACAAGGGTGTAAATCATGTTTGTGTACGAATCACGTTGTTTGTATGTATGAAACATATATGTATTGGCAATAAAACTCCACAAAATCCACACATTAAAGAACACATGTTTGGTAGTGTCCCGGACAGGTGCTGGTGTTGTAACTTGACAATTGTCCATAGGTCGACCAAACCTTCCTCTTGAACTATAATGTGTGGGTTTAGCAGCATATACAAATCAATACGTACTGATACATATCTGCATATAGAAGCATTGTAATCTCCTTATTACATATTACCCTGCTTCTTTATGTGGCACCTCAGCCTCTTGGTCACGAGTTTAATAATCTTGGATTATATTTATACCCTTTCCTCGTCTGATTCATCACTTTCATTTTCACAATCAATTGATGAATTCTCATCTGATTCAGATTCGGATGATGATGACTCACTCCTCAATTTATCGAACCTCATTCTGAAGAGATTTAAGTCTAATTCTGCCAAGTGCTGAAGAAATCCGTTGTTTGGGCGAATCTCTCGATCTAGAGAGGATGAAAAGGAAATAATTAGAATTTTAATACCGAAAATAAACAATGAATAATGTGTTTTTCAAATAAGGTGCTGGTTTTGTAATGAAGCGGCGCTGCATTCAGTTCCTCAGACGTTGCTTGAGGCAGAAGTTACATATTGTCCACCTCAGACTCATAGTAAGTCCCCTCAGACGTTGCTTGACCCAAAAGCAATTGGTTGATTCGTATGGTTCTGAGAGTGATTCAGAACCAAGACACAAAACACACTAAATCTGAATTAATCTCGGTCAAAGCTCTGTTATTGTTTTTTTACGGAAATTAGAACCTATTATTTTAGTAGTCCTGAGAGCCACAACTCTTTAAATACATTTCACATGACAACAACATTGCTTCTGTGAGACACTAGGTAGTGACATACTGAAGTTGTTTATGTTATAATAGTTTACATGGAAGTGACTCACTCTCTCTGATCAGCGTCAATGCTGTGGCAGCCGTCATGTTGCAACACATCATCAGAAATGCTGCAACAATTGAGGCAGACCGCGACCGTCCCTGCCTGCAGTGCACCAAAACTTTTCCTGTAACATAAACATAACAGTTCAAATACTTATGTTATTGACAAGTTTAAGCAAATACATAAAGTAGTTTGCTGTTACAAGCACAAAATTGACACGAGAAATCTTGTAATCCTATGCAGGGAATAACATGGGTGAAGCAAAAACTCGACCCACACACGAGATGAAAGTAGTGACAACGCTTTCATCTCGTGTGAGTCAGGGAAAGAGAGAGAGAGAGAGAGAGAGAGACCCGGGCACTACCGGGTACACCATCCAGTAGATAATACATACGAATGTATCTTTCTCTTTTGACTATTTATTTGTGAACCACTTTGGAATTTAACTTAACCTGTACCTGCTTGATGGGGTTCTGGGAGTTCTTTTACTCCCCAAGTCCGGCCCTAGGCCAGGCTTGACTTTGTAGACTAGGCTAGGCTGTAGAATATAGAATATTTGTAGACTTTGTTGAATAGGATAGGCTGTAGAATATAGGTAAAAACTATATACACTAAAGAATATTTTTTCAAATATGTCTGGAGGCTGAACTATCAGACATGAACCCAGGGCATATATTATATATACTGCACTCATATAAAAATGCTGCACTAACCTCCGGATCTCAGAGCGCTGTCAATAAATGCCGACGCCTTCTCAAAGTGCAAGGAAATGTTGATAAATGGCAGATCAATGAGGTCAAGACCCAAGTACGTAATGGAAGGATCCTGGGGAGTCAAGAATAATTACTCTCACTTATATGTTGTATACCAGTTATACCTACTCTCTCAAAGGTTGTATAACAGCTATATCTACTCTCTTAAAGGTTGTATAACACAGCTATACCTACTCTCTCAAAGGTTGTGTAAGTTATATCTACTCTCTTAAAGGTTGTATAACACAGCTATACCTACTCTCTCATAGGTTGTATAGCAGCTATGCTTTCTAGTACAATTGTTTTTATATAAAAAAATATTTGCAACAAATTTTTGTTATAATGCTGTTATACAAAATAAATATATATTTAAAACATCGTAATCATTAAAATACATTTTCTATGAAATAATAGATTAAAACCTAGACACCTATGTTGGCGTGGCGTCACTGGAGGTAAGTCACTGATGCTTGTCACAAGGATTGCCTCGCAGTGAACACAAGTGTCTATGTTGGCAAAGCTAATGTATGTGGGACCCGACTTGCTGCTTTCTTCACGCAGCCGTCTTGGCAGCCCAAAACGTGGACCAGACTGTGCGACACAGTGGTTGCCAGGATCAGGTTGGGTTACCGTTACCTGTGGCAGGTGGCTACAGGTGACGGATCTCCCAATCCTGAGCACTCCAGGTGCAAACTCTGTGAGCAGGAACTGCGGCATGATCTCCCACACTACATCACCGAATGTCCAGTTATTAGACCTTTCAGACCCGTTGGCATGAGGTACCTGGAGCTTTGCAATTATTTTATTCACTCTCGTATTCTTATTTATATTATCGTATTATTTATATTTTTTATTTATTTTTGAACGTTTTTATATAACTTAGTCTTGTAAAATATATTAAAAATATTAAGTACATATGTATGGGTTCTGGAGAGTGAAGGCATGTCGCCCTTAAGACCAGTGTATGAAAAGAGAGCCACGGTGATCACCACAGACAAGACACGCACTCTTCACATAACATAAATGACTTAAGACGTACCTTGTAATATTTAGCGCCAGTCTTGACCGGTGCAGGGCCTCCAGAGTTGTCCGCAGCGTTGACTATGTGTGTGATCCCGTGCCGGAGGAGGTACTGCTCATTCATGGCTGCGTCACTGCAAACATAACTACCGCTGCACACAGAAATCACAATAACGTGATGTATCAAATAAACAAATCCACAAGGGCCGTCTGGGATGCTCTCGGACGTAGGTTCGAATCCTCGTCACAGCCCTTGTGGCTTTGTTCAACTACCGCTGATTTGATAGTTTTTATATGGTATGATTTTGTTTGGCTTGGGAATGGAATACAAGTTGTAGATCACGGGTATGTTTTAGGTAGTGTAAACTCTGTTTTCCGACTTGGTGGAAACTAAACAAACGATCTCAATAAATAATTGTAATTCAATTGCAGCAATGTTTTGGTATTTATGGCTTGGGCGGGTAGGCAGTTCCATGGGTTTATAACCCTGAGGGTGAAAAAGCATCTCCTGTTCTCAATCCTATATTATGGCTTGTTGAGCTTGAAACCGTTGCTCCTTGTTTGTGTTACATCTGACCTTTTAAGGAAGTTGTCTGGATTTCAATTATTGTCCTTCAATTTGTTCAGTATTTTAAGTTTCAAAGATCCGCCCTGTCATGCCTGATTTGCAGTGTTGTTAGTCCTGTGGCTCTCGACCGTTCCTGATACAAGAGTTGACTTAGCTCTAGAATGATTTTAGTTGCCCGGTGTTGAACTTTCTCCTAAGCAAGTATGTCTGTCTGAAGATGAGATCTCCATGTCTGGATGCAATAATCCATGTGGAGACGCACCACATATTTATACAGTTGAATAACTACCTGGGGACCTGGATGCCAGCCATAACACACGTTAGGCTGGCATCGAGATGCCCCCAAGGTCGAACTATTGATCTTTCCCAGGATGCAACACCACAACACTTGGCTAACTCCTGGGTACTTATTTACTGCTAGGTGAACCGAAGCATTAGGTGATAGGGGCTGGGGCTGATAGTATTCTATGTAAGCCGTCTTTGGTCTTGGGCTGGGGCTGGTACTAGGCTATGTAAGCTGTCTTTGGTCTTGGGCTGGGGCTGGTACTAGGCTATGTAAGCTGTCTTTGGTCTTGGGCTGGGGCTGGTACTAGGTTATGTAAGCTGTCTTTGGTCTTGGGCTGGGGCTAGTAGTAGGCTGTCTTCGGGTCTTGGGCTGGGGCTAATAGTAGGCTGTCTTGGGGTCTTGGGCTGGGGCTAATTGTCGGCTTCATCTTCTGGTGTGGGGTTTGGTCAACATTTCTTCAGCCACGTTATTGTGACTCATCGTCTGCATAGCAACTGTTTGTATCGTCATGCGGATTGAATTTGAACCGTTTCTCTATCCCATTGTGCACTACAACCTCGCAAGTAAGTAAAAAAATTATGTTAATATATTGTGATAATGTTGAATATGTTAAGAGTAGAGCCCTAACAACTAAGTGGACAGCGCTCGGGATTCGTAGTCCTGAGGTTCCGGGTTCGATCCCCGGTGAAGGCGGAAACAAATGGGCAGTGTTTCTTTTACCCTGATGCCCTAGTTCACCTAGCAGTAAATAGGTACCTGGGAGTTTGACAGCTGCTACGGGCTGCTTCCTGGGAGTGTGAAACAGAAATAAGGCTTGATCGAGGACCGGGCCGCGGGAACGCTAAGCCACCACATCAGCTCAAGATAACCTCAAGAGATAGATAGGAGACTTACCAGTCACCCAGGTACAGGTTAGGGTAGACTTGATCCATGTCTGCACCGTCCATGAAGCGGGAGACGTGCATCCTGATCTCAGGAATGGGACGAAGGCGGGTCTCCACCGTCGTCACAATTTCTCTTAGATCCTCATAATCTTAATCAAAGAAAATCATCAACTAAATATAAGGTAGAACTTGTAAATATTGTTTTTTGAACAGTATAGTGAAACTGAACTCATCTTCCTCTTAAATGATTAAACTATTACTCTTGTAATTTGAATGGGAAAAGATAATTAAATGATAATAGAACAGTTGTATAACTCTGACGCAGAAAGCCTCTACATGAGCCTTAGATTATACACTATATAATTATAATGATTGGGTATTATGCTATTATTATGACTTTCTCTTATATAAACACACTTAAATTCTGAATAAACTAACTCAATTATAAATGCACAACCATCAAGAATAAACAAAATTAATTAACATTTGTATTTATCATATTTTGTGCACATAATTCTAAGAATCATTGGCCTTTATTTTTATCTAAGATTTTGAAAAAAAAATGAAGTAATTTATGACTTAAACCACGCAGTGTCTGACGCATGGGAAATACAACGCCACCTATAACAGTCAGACCTAAAGAACATAAGAACATAAAAATGAAGGTAACTGCTCCTGAACCGATTATGTGCCTCTGTAATCCTTTACACCACCGCCCACGGGATGGGTATGGGGTGCATAATAAAGAAAGAAATTGCTGAAGGCCTATTGCTCCATGCCTTGCAGCGTCTATTTATATCCACCCAATCCCACTCATATACATGTCCAACCCACGTTTGAAACAATCGAGAGATCCTACTTCTATTATATCACGCGGTGATAAGGTTCCACAAATCAACAACCCTACTACCGAACCAGTATTTACCCAGGTCTTTCCTAAACGTATCCAATTTATACCCATTGTTTCGTGTTCTATTTTGTGTTAATACTTTTCATATCCTATTAATATCCCATCTTGCCATCTACACTACAGTGGTTAGTTGAATAATTACAAGGGTTCCACGAGACAAATACTATGTATGTACTATATTGTGTTCCAACAAAATAAAAATGAATGTTTTGACCTGAATGTCTCCTGTTATTATTGACATGCAGTTATAACTGAGAAGAGCAATGCAGAACTTGTGACGTATAACTATATGAATTTGTCACAGCAATGGCTACTGTCTGTTTTGTTGTAGTGGTCCATATGTGTGACTGGTTGTAGGGGTCCATATGTGTGACTGGTTGTAGGGGTCCATATGTGTGACTGGTTGTAGGGGTCCATATGTGTGACTGGTTGTAGGGGTCCATATGTGAGACTGTGGTTGTAGGGGTCCATATGTGTGACTGGTTGTAGGGGTCCATATGTGTGAGTGGTTGTAGGGGTTCATATGTGAGACTGTGGTTGTAGGGGTCCATATGTGTGACTGGTTGTAGGGGTCCATATGTGTGACTGGTTGTAGGGGTTCATATGTGAGACTGTGGTTGTAGGGGTCCATATGTGTGACTGGTTGTAGGGGTCCATATGTGTGAGTGGTTGTAGGGGTTCATATGTGAGACTGTGGTTGTAGGGGTCCATATGTGTGACTGGTTGTAGGGGTCCATATGTGAGAATATGGTTGTAGGGGTCCATATGTGAGACTGGTTGTAGGGGTCCATATGTGAGACTGGTTGTAGAGGTCCACATATGAGAACATGGTTGTAGAGGTCCACATATGAGAACATGGTTGTAGAGGTCCACATATGAGAACGTGGTTGTAGAGGTCCACATATGAGAACGTGGTTGTAGAGGTTCACATATGAGAACATGGTTGTAAAGGTCCACATATGAGAACATGGTTGTAGAGGTCCACATATGAGAACATGGTTGTTGAGGTTCACATATGAGAGATGGCTGTAGAGGTCCACATATGAGAACATGGTTGTAGAGGTCCACATAATAGAGATGGTTGTAGAGGTCCACATATGAGAACATGGTTGGAAAAGGAGGAATGAAACATAGAAGATTCAAAACCACTGAATTCCAGTCTACGCCCAAAGCCTTATTTTTGAGAAATGCAAATTTGAATTTTTTTAAATCATGATAATGATGAGATATTTGAAACAATAGTATGTGGGCCGAAACCCACATACTATTAACAGTACTCTATATACCCTAAGTATGTTTTAAGTATCTCCTTCCTGATTTTCGCACAAATTATTGCCATTATCCCCCGCCATATATACACAGTTTCTCAACATGTTGGAGTGGGCATATAACGCACCCATGAAATGATAAGAAAATACAATAGGAAAAGTGATTTGAAGAACTTGGCATCTTCTCAACCCCATCTCGTATCTTTGTCCTAATGTCCCCTCCAAGTTCTGTATGGTCATATATTGGTTTAGTGTTTCTCTTCGTAATTACCTTACCTCGAAAGTGACCTATCCTAACATAACCTCTTCCACACTAGGCTCGCTTCAAGAAACTAGCACCACAATTAATTTCCTAGACAAATATCTGCATTACAGCCTTAACTATTTCTTAGCTTTCATTGTGTCACTGTCTTTCCTTCACTAACTTTATTCGTAATTAGCTTCACTCACACAAATTCCTGTTTGCTTAACCTACATCCGAGGTATTTAAACTAAACAGATTCAAGCATTTTCCATTCTCCTTTGGAAATTTTAAACTGTTGATATCTGAAAATGTACAGAAGCTAATTTCAACGTTGCACAAAATATAAAATAAAAATAACACATTTCAAGGGGAAAATTGGTCTAAGACAATATACTGCACAAAACATTTAAAACTCACAAGATGGAAATTCCAATCCTTTGAAATTCATTTGCATCCCCATCCTGACTGTTGCTCAGAGATCGACCTTCAGATGTGGGCGTTGACTGTAAGCTGTGGAGGCCCCGGGCTCAGTGGCAAGGATCACAGCACGTCTGCCTTTGACTGGCTGCTGACTGATGAATGGTGAGTTACTTGCACCGTCGTGATGATGGGCAGGTTTGGCATGGGCATGAATCTTGTTACTATCTCTGCTGCATTCTTGGTTGTTCAGGTCCCTATACAGCACTACTGAATATGTAACTGTATTTCATTTAGGGGAAATAAATACTGTATTGATAATGATAACACACACACACTTCGATGAGAACACACGTAGATGAGAACACGCACTTCGATGAGAACACACTTCGATGGGAACACGCACTTCGATGAGAACACACTTCGATGAGAACACGCACTTCGATGAGAACACGCACTTCGACGAGAACACGCACTATTACATTGAGAGTGCAGGTCTTATAGCTCAGAACAAATCAAAGACAGGCTAAATAACAAACTAACAAAAAGGCTGAGCTTTGAAACGTTACCCATCAGGGCAAATTCAGACCCATAGTAATGAAGGATGTGTGTGAGACTCTCTGAAGTATGAGAAGTCTCATATATTATAGAGGCTGGTTGTGGTTATAACACATGATGATGGGGCGAGCACAACCTTGCACCAGCCACTCCCGCGCACCACAACACCCACGACTGAAACAAAACCAAATGTAATTACTCTTTAGCACATTAAACATTGGTTTAAATTTCAGAATATTAGCATTATAAATATAAGTGCCTTATTCCAATCAACTATGCAAAATTTATCTAGTGTTAATGGGACAATGGAGGTTCGAATTCTGGTTGGGTCATAGAGTTCTTAAGTGATATAAAAGAGAAAAGAGAATGTTTGTTCAAGGATGGGGATAGATGCTTTGGGGCTAGACTCACCAAACTTTGCAAGGTGAGTGGTGTTTGTATGGTGAGTGTCATAGGTTGGTTGGGATCGACCCCCCCATGCACTTCTTTAAGTAGGATTGGCTCTTATTGCGACAATCAACGGGTCTTATTAAGTCTGAAATACTAGCTTGCTTCTGCTTTAGTATTATATGTATACCTCATCAAACCTTTAAACAACCTGACTGTATTATTTTAAGCTATGTCTGAAACGCTTTGCGTATTAGTGGTTTTATTAAATGTACGCACTCTTTAACAAGTATTAAACCTTTGTATAACATTATTTTATATTTGTTTTAATAAATCATTAATTGTATTATTATTATTATTATTATTATTATTTATATAGAATGCATTCTTACTTATTTCTTGATTGTTATCCACGTTGAATCTGAATGAACTGACTGAAGAAATGTGGTAAGTGGGGTACCACAGGGGTTAATTTTGGGGCCAACCCTTTTTGTCACATACATTAATGACGTAAATGAAAATATTACAAACCACATCATCAAATTTACAGATGACACAAAGATTTATGGTAACGTGTGAAATTATATTTTTTTCCTGTGGGCCACTAACACTAGTGACATCGACGAAGATAGGAAGCCAGCAGCTTGTCAAACGTCCAAAAGGATGACATTGAAGGTCCAAATAATGATATTGAAGCCTTACAAAGAGATTTTCATGAACTACACAAATGGTCAAAAGACTGGCCAATGCTTTTTAATATCTACAAATGCAAGACCTTGCATGTGGGGCATAACAACCCACGCCACGACTACCAAATTAATAACGTTCCATTACAGCAGATTGATGAAGAAAATGATCTTGGAGTCAAAATCCACCACTCACTGAAAGTTACACAACAGGTAGAAGCAACAGTAAAAAAGCTAACCAAACACTTGGAATAATCAAGCGTACCTTTGACGTTAAGGAAAAGAAGGCAGTGATTCAACTGAATAAATCTCTGGTGCATTTGGTTTACTGTATCCAAACATGGAGATCTCATCTTCAGAAGGACATAGCTGCTCTGGAGAAAGGGCAACGCCTGGCAACAAAAAATATTCCAGAGCTAAGTCAACTCGCGTATCAGGAACAGTTGAGGGCCACAGGGCTAACAACACTAGAAACCAGGTATGACAGGACGGATCTTATTGAAACTTTTAAAATACTGAACAGTTTGGAAGAGGTTGATCCAGAGTATTTCTTCTAAAGGTCAGATGTAACACAAACAAGGAGCAGTGGTTTCAAGCTCAACAAGTCACAATGTAGGACTGAGAACAGGAAATGCTTTTTCACCCACAGGGATATAAACCCATGGAACTGCTTACCTGCTGATACCGTAAATGCCAAAGCTGTGTTGAGTTTAAAATCCAACTTGAAAAGATCATCAAAGCAAATGATGACACTCCACCGGCTTCCTGTCCTCGTCGAGGCCACTAGTGTTAGTAGCCCTCAGGTAAATTCAGGTCAAAATTCAGGAATCAACGTCGATAAGGTTTATTCAACACCGATGATGGATTCTCTTGTGCCATTTACAAAACCCTGTTCTTAAATGCAAAACCTTGGTCTAAAACTCTTCCTGAACAGATGTAATAGAACCCTTAATCACCACAACAGAAATAAATATATCTTTGATATTCCCAGAGTCAAACTTAATCTGTGTAAACACAATATGCAAATAAAGGGACCTAGTATATGGAACTCACTCCCTAACGAATTGAAAAGCTGTCCAATTTTTGCCTTTTTCAAAAATAAAACCAAAAAGTACCTAATTTCATCCTCATAATTTCCTACCTAGTGCTTGAAACTCGTACTGTATCTAGTGCTACCCAATTCCCCAATATATATATATAAATATATATATATATATATATATATATATATATATATATATATATATATATATATATATATATATATATATATATATATATATATATATATATATATATATATATATATATATACACACACACACACACACATAGAAGAAACCATGCATAACGCATTAGAGGGAATATTTAGATCCCCTCCAATACAGTTTCTGTGTGCTTTTCTCCTACCACCCCCTTCAGCGAAGGACACAGTAGATATCTGGATGGATATATAGAGGGATAGGTTGATGGATGGATGGATAGATGGATGAATAGACAGATGAGTACATGGATGGATAGACAAATCCATCTAAGTTTCATCGACTACATCTAACTTAACTAGTCCACACAAAGTGGAAACACAATATGTAAATACTGTATGTAAACACAATCTGTAAATACACTGATACTGACAACAAATGGTTGTGGCATCTGTGTAGTACTTTATCTCCAGACATGATATACAAGTCGGGCTGTCTTTTGAAGAAAGCATCATCAGCCAAGCCTTGCAACGATATATTTCCCCATTGTCAGGGACCGGGAGCCTGTACTTATAGGCTTGTACATATCACGGTCCCCTTGGACCTTGCACAAGATTCCCGGCAATGGTGGAAACAAGTGGGCAGAGTTTCTTCCCCCCCCCCCTGATGCACCTGTTCACCTAGCAGTAAATAGGTACCTGGGAGTTAGACAGCTGCTACGGGCTGCTTCCTGGGTGTGTGTGTGGGGGGGGATATTGATTGATTGACAGTTGAGAGGCGGGCCGAAGAGCCAGGGCTCAACCCCCGCAAGCACAACTAGGCGAGTTTAAGTTATTTAAGAATACTCTAAGTCTAACCTTGTGTGTCCCACTTGGTGACTGAACCCCAAGATCCTCGCCTGAGTCAAGTACGTATAACTGTGCTTTACACTATCGCTAATTGGTTTTCTTCGTAGTTTGAATTTAAATAATATAAATCACACAAATGTGTATTCATCACTATATTGCTAGTTTTGAGCTACATTGTAATATTGTATATAGAATATTGTAGCAGCACATTGCTGTGTATACCCAAGCTTGTTAATAATAATAATTATAAATAATGATAAAACTACAGAATACTGAATACATATATAAGAAAATTGTATACAGTTGTGTGTGTTTACCCGGAATTATCATTTTGTGTTTAGTTGGTTTTGGAGATAGTAAACATGATTAGCACAATAAAAAATTAATGGCTCTATAACTGAAGAGTTCTTAACCCACTGCATTTACAGCTCATGGTTAAAAAAAATAAACACCCTGCAAATGCTTTATCTGGTTCTGGGGACTAGTTGGGCTTTAATTTGTACACATTTTTTAATAACATTCAAATTTGTAACCTGTCAACTTGTCCTCCTAAGCACCTACATAGATTCGTTCAGCTGTAGGTATACATTTAAGTTCTTCTCTAGTAAATACACACTAAGTACTTTACAATACCAACCATTTCCTTGTCAATGGCCCATTTTGCTTGATATACAGTAGTCGAAAGAACCCTTTAAGATTTGTCTGCCTGCTATACACAATATACTGTAATATATTTTAGCTTTTCTTAATTGTTATAACTGTGCTTCTTAGTTTTATAGTTTTACTCTAGATAGACTTCATCACTCTTAATTTGTATATACACATATCCTTATTTTTCTGATAAGGTTCTTCAATATCATGGTTAACAAGTATTTTGGGCATTTATTGAACAAATCAATTTATATGGTATACTGTGTCCCTGGGCTTCAATAAGTTTTGAAATGCATTATAATTTGCATCTATATTATAATTCAGTATCAAGTTACCCACTGCTGGAGCCCTCAGGCTTGAAGCCTATCAACAGGACTGGGTAACCATTCAGTGGGACTATGAAAAATTTACTAATGTGAACATGATTAGATTAACTTAAGACATGAAAGATCATATGACAGCTGTTATCCATGGAAAAGGTTAATACATCGCTGAAGAAGCTGATATGTGAGAAATCTACAAGTAATGTTGATAAAATATATGCAAAATTTATTAAATGTTGTGGAGAAAAGAGTAATGTAGTGGATGTGGAAAATTTGCTAGAAGGCAAGAGATCGTGGTAATATATCAAACAGGATTGGAAAAAGAGTGGTAAATGTACCACTGTATAAAAATAATACACTACATTAGAACATAGCAAGACTAAGAACTAGAAGCATTACTTTACTATGTGCAGTGGGCAAGAAACTTCTAAAGAGAATAATCAGAAGTAAATGTGGATAAAAATCAAGGCAGTGGAGAGACTCAAATTGTGTGTGAAATTAATGTGAATTGTGAAATGCTAGAGATGTCAATCAGGTTATATTTCTGTACTGGTTTGTGTGACCACTAAAAGAGGAATTTGTACAAGTTGAGAATAGGTTCAATCATAGTAAAAAATGTGACTGGTGCAATGATAGCTCTAATTAATATTAGTAAGAAGATAGGAATAGAAGCAGCCAGATGTTTGGATGCGATAGTAAAGCTGACTGTTATGTATGACTAAGATGATAGTGTGGCATGACCAGGAAATCAAAGCATTCAAACAGTGGTAATGTAGAATCTTACAAGCATGTGTGGTGTCAGGAGAGTAGTATAACGAAAGCACATGTTACAGAGATGTGGAATGCAAAAGACAATAAGCCACAAGATTAAAGAAAAAGCGTACCAAGATGATTTTGGCATGTTGAATGAATGGCTGATGAGACAAGAATGGCTGTCTTGCAAAGAGTGAATTTTAGTAAACATGAGTGTTTGTGGAGGCAGAGAATAAAAGTGAACAACTCACAGTATTGAATATGGTAATGGACAAGACTGAGTGGAAACTATTTGTAAGGAGGAAACATGTTTACTGTTTACATAGTGTATATGACAACTTCTGAGGTACAGCTGATCTTGTGAAGTAAAATGCTTCTCAAGTAGTGATTATTTACAGGCGATGAGTCACAATAACGTGGCTGAAGTATGTTGACCAGACCACACACTAGAAGTTGAAGGGACGACGACGTTTCGGTCCGTCCTGGACCATTCTCAAGTCGATTCAAGTCGAATCGACTTGAGAATGGTCCAGGACGGACCGAAACGTCATCACCCCTTCAACTTCTAGTGTGTGGTCTGGTCAACAGTGATTATTTATCCCTGATGCTGTATATTTTAGTAAGAATGAGATAATGAATGTCTTAGTGAAGCTCATTCAATAAGTTTTTGTAACATTTTATTATTTAATATAAATAACTGTCATTTACTATATTACTCACCTTTTCACCAATGATTCCTCATTACCACCATGAAAGTGGGAACTGGGTAATGATATTTCTTGTACTGTATGTAAATACGACTGGGAAAAGGTTCCAATACTGTCAGACACTCAAAATACTGCAATTGACATAATGTTGCCTTATTGTAATATATTTAGCCATGAGTAAAATCATGTAAATTTGAAAAAGCTGTTAACAAAGGCAATTAGCTTTAGGGAAAGGAATTCACTCAATAAAATGGTAAATACAAACAAAACACCACTTTGGTTGTGTAAAAGATTCACATCCTTGGTTAAAGAGGAATGGTTCCATGCTTCTCTTAACAGCATCTAAAACCACATGCAAGAAAAACTACTTTTATCAAGGTTTTCTTTATTAAAATAATATTTCTTAATGTAAAAAAAAAAAATCTAAATTTTCCTCATAGTGACTTTACTCAAGTTTGGCAAGACAAATTAAGAGTATTTAAACCTTCATATCATAAACCCTCACTGATCACCATATTTAACACACCAATCTTTACATATTTCATTCACTATCATACTAACAATCTACAATATTTTGTTAAAAATAATCACAAAATCAGGCCTTAAATAAGAATATATAATACCAAAAGCACAACAAATAATACATCCAATACTGAAATTAATAAAGGAATGTAGAAAATCATATTAAAGCAAAAAAAAAATGAAGTGTAATGTAATTAACAAACACCAAATTCAATCAATCATGACATCCCAACATTATTTCAAGATACAGTATACAACTCTTAACATTATCAAATGACTAGTAGAGAGAAGCACAATATTGTATACAGTACAGTATTTACAAATAAAATTCCATAATGTTGTAATTTGCTTTACATACACATCCTGTATATTAATACTATACCTAAATCAAATATAAATAATAGATATGAAATTTGTTACAATGAGGCAAAGGTCTTACTCTTGATAAATGGCATTAATAATAATACTGTACTCTGGAAAGTGCCCATCTGCAACCACCAATTTGTTGAAATGTAGTTCAGATATCGTTAGAATTCTATCACGCGGAGAAATCAATTTATAATGGGTACTGTACTGAATTGCACATTACTTACACAGTAACTACTATACATTAATGATTTGGCTTAATTAAATGTTAATTTTAAAAAGAATTGATATTATATATCAATTTTTTTATATATCACAAACTGTTCACAATTTACTAAATACAGTACTGTATATAAAAACTAATATATCTTTACAAAGTTCCTACACTTAATACCACCAAGATAAAATAAATGGCATCATGTTCCCCCCTATATTTAGGCTAGGGGAACCCGCAATTTACTTGGGCATGAAAATAGATACTGCTGTTGACCCCGAGAGCCAGGACTAGCCTTGCAGCTCACACTGTGCGCGTACAACCAATAACAGTTATCATTACTAGATATAAAATTCCACTAAAGATGGGGTAGCCTCTTTTAACTAAAAGATCAAGGCAGTGTTCTGAACAAGAGGCAATATTTATAGATTAAGATACAATTTTAAGCAATTATCCCATTCGTAATTTGTTTTAACTGTGAAAACTTGTGTGGTTTATTTGATGAGGAAAACAAAAACAAATTACTGTATTGTATTTAGATGCTTATAGAGTACATATTGCCAATGTGAAATGATAAATTATACTGGTATGGAAAAATGTTTCTTATATGGCACAAGATAAAATTACTTTAATGATAGGTCTATCAACCCTTTGGCTGTAAAATGTAACACTGGTCCATTTCAAATCATTAAATTTTTGTCCAGGTCCTCTTGATCTTCAAAATAGAAGCTTGGACCCAGTAAAGACTACCATTTATGGATGACAGAATAGTGTCACCTCAGGTGGTAGCACCAAATATTGACAATTATGCCTCATATCTTTGCAATTATGTTTAATTGCTGAAGTAATGTTACATAAGTGTTACTCATGCTGTTCAATCTTCCATATAATCTTTGTTGTATGATGCTAAGAAACTGCTGATGATTTTTGGCATACATCTCCTTTAAATTGTCTGTGCTTGCATGTGTGCATGTGTGGATGGTTCACATTATTGTTTCCCAGTTAGGGACTCAGAAGTACGTTCAGCTTTTAGAGCTGCACTTTTGGCTTCGACAATAACAGGACCGGAGAGCTGGTACAGCCAGAGGTTTAATCAAGTGTCAATGAGTCCTGTGACATTATTATACAGTACAGTACTGTACAAGGAATTTTTTATAATACAGTATTCAATAATGGGATCACATTCAGCACCACCTTTATTTTCTACCTGTATTTCAGGTGATATCTGCTAGTTTTAAGTAAACAAATTTTTACTCTTTTTATATAAAAAACAATCAAGTGTAGAGCTTATTTATCGTCTCAAGGACCTAGAAAGACCTCAGAGTTTGGCTTTACAAAAGAAGTTGATAAGTACATCATCTGTAACATTATAATCCTTCAAAATACTGTAGGATGTAGAGGGAATACTTGCTTACCAAAAATATAATGGACCAGGAGGACTGGTCGGAGACCGGGCCACGGGGACGTTGAGCCTGAAATCATCACAAGGTAACCCCTTATGGTTTTTGTGTGTGACCAACCATCTTCTGTTCTACTAAATTAAACTTAATCATGCCATATAAATTTCAGCAAATTCTAAAAGCATGATTTGTACAGTATATTCAATATATAAAAGTTGTATTCTCCAACTTCATCCCAACTACTTACACAATGTATAGTAGTAGCAGTACAGTATTACACAAAAAAATATTTTATCATACAAAAGGATACAATCAAGAAAACCACAATGAAAAATATGGAGTGCTAATGTAGCTCTTTTTTGTTAGAGAGATACAGTGAATCCCTTAGACAGCACCTTACACACTGCTGTCTACCCCCATTGGTTGAGCAATTTGTTGACAAATGTAATGCATGATGGTACCTGAATAATGCTTATGATGTAGATGAGGTTTTAAGTCTAATGCAACATCTGAATACATGGAGAAAATTATGATTTTATGTTTAAATTGTTGATTAAAATAGAGTATTAAAATTAGTTAAAGAATTATATGTAAGTAGTTTCTTTATATATAGTATTAATAAGGAATATAATGAAATGCTGACAGCTTTATAAAAACGATAAATGTCAGAGTAAGGTTGAGGAAAGGTTGGGGCAAGGACATCTTTACACAATCGCAGGTTAAGTAGTGTCGTGTTTTTATGAATATGCACTACTACTACTACTAATAAACCTTACAGGGCGCCACTAGGTAAATTTCCTCCAGCCTAATTCAGAGCTTCTAATCACAGCTGTTAGCCCTTCAATCTGCACAGAAGTTTTTTGATCCATGCTAGTAGCCTTCCCATTACTCCTGTGCACTCTCAACTTTCAGACCCAATTGTCTTATTTTGTAGAATCTTGATAACCCTGTCATTTGAACTACAGTAATTACAGTAGAATAAAGATGTATGATGATCATGTTTCGAAACCAAACTACGAGTTCTGTTGTCATATATTTTGAAATATACCCATTTCTGTTTTATTACATTTCTAGTGATTTGGTTACTTCACTGGTCAATTATATTGCTTTGTAGTTCAACTGGTCTTCTCCGTTTCCTTTATGTTAATATGGACTAAATTTATAATTTTCTTAACCTTTGCATTTCCCATTTGCAATAATGCTTAGAAAACAATTCCTAATATAACACAAAAAAGGTGTGCAGACTAAAGCCAATCGAGATTGATGAGAGATCTTCTCTATTTTAAAATTACGTAAGAAACCAAACATTCCAGGTTGTCCTCAACAATCATTCATCCCACAAACATGCCATAGAAGCAGGTGTACCTCAGTGTTATCAGGTTAATAATGTGGAATACTGACTTTAACAAGATCCCATTAAAATTCCAGAGGAATTTTAATACGAATTGGATAGATCCAATTCCAGAGGGATGGATCTATGCAGATTGCATACTTAGTTTTACAGGACACATGAAAGAGAACATTAATCACAATAATAGAACTCTCCAAGCCATTATATCTCGAGAACAACACCGGCAAGTTACTCGTGTTTTGATCTTAGAAAAAGATAATGAATAACCTGACGTAACTCATTGATTAATATGCTTGGAGACAAAAAAAAAATATCTCCTGTACTAGACATGTGAAAGAAGAAACAGCTAAATGTTAGAGGAAACTTGTATGCCTGCAGAGAGTCGCACATCACCTAAATGCAGAGAGATGTATAATGCTCTAAAATTTCCAAATTAGAATACTCGTGGAGTACTCGGCTAATTTGGGATTCTTTTTTCGTGGACATATTCAATCTCCAACACACAAAGAAATTTGGTTTGTCTAGGCATAAAATAAGTCCACAAAATGCATACCCTACACAGTTCTTCTCTATAACTGCCTCTCTCAACAATAATGCATCAAGTATTAGTGCAGTAATAGTTATAAATGCAATGCGTGACAACCAAATGTTTTCCCTTTGGGGGAAAAAAAAAATGCTATTTCAATGATCATTTCATCCACACTTGCAAAATTATGGAGCTCGTTTGGGAAACAGATCGGAAACTAACTCGTACATTTTGTATATGAATTGATAACACAAAATTATATTTGACTCTGGACAACAACTTTAAGCCCTGGGCAAGCACCTTTTCAATGTTTTGCCCACTCAAATGGGTTGGGAGCATATGGAATCAGAGATCAATCATACAAGAGACAAACTGACTGTTGTGACACACAGAAGTGCTTCAAAACTTCCTTCAAATGATGTTTGACAACAACGAAACGTTAAACAACACTAAACAAGCTAAGCACCAACTATCTCGTTCACCACCAGGTGATGACCCTACTGACAAGAGGGCAGGTGACCTCACTTTTTACGTGATGCTACCGAGATCAGCTTTACCTTTGTTAGAAACCAGACTAAAAATATGTTAACCTGGCTATCTTGAAGTGAGCTTTACCTATGTAAATAAATAATTATAGTTACAGGATGAGAGCTATGATGCTCTGTCTTCCCAGTTGTCTTTGTCATGTGACTAAAACAACAGATGGTTTTGGCATTCACTGCCATCTCACTTAACTTATTTCAACCTTCTATAAGTCTGTTCACTTCAGTGTGTTTGTTGGTTTATACTGTGTCAGGGACTTTGACTGCTACATCATCTGAGTTTAAGGGTTATCTTTCCTGACATTGAGTGCAATGATCATTGTCACCAGTGATCTTCTCAGAGGCTGTCGTCTTTCTTCCAGATATGGACCAATTCCTACAGTTTGATTGTTTTAGGAAGTACAGTATTCTGCAAATTATTTGTCAAATGAAGCTCTAGGGTTAGATCAGATTACATCTCAATAATAATACTCAACTATAATACTCTCAAGTTAGACTTTAGGTACGTAAAGTATGGTACTCTCTCGTTATCTCGTACTGATTTTGCTACGTGCAGTTTTGCTAGATGTACAGTACCTGTTTTTAAATTTTTATTGTAATCCAAAGTTTTTCTGACACTTCTCTTGATGGGTCCAGGGTAATTTTTATCCTGGTATGTTTGTTGTCACTGCACTATCTTGTATGAAACACCTTATTTGGAAGCTTAAGGGGTGACCATTCATTTGTGAGCTCACATTTTGCATTACAAAATTTTGAATCTGTAGTGGCTGCTGGAAGGGTCTTTGAGTGAAGTTTCTTCTTCTAGCTAGGCAAAATTCAAGGCTTCAATTCTCACTATCTGTGCCAAGTAGTATTTGGTCCTTCAGCCTCTTCTAATTTGGCCGGTGGCTGATATGGCCGCTCTAAAGCTATTCCTTGTCCTGCTTTACAGCTCCTCTTGATTAAGGCACCTAGACAGCCTAGGATCTTGGGTTCATGGGCACCAGGGAAGGTAGTGATGGATACAGGGACAGGAACCCACTAGGGTATGTCCGGTGACTTGTTACCTGTTCCAAACTCAACCATTCCTCTTTTTCTTTAGGAGCCTTTGGCCTTTGGAGAGAGAAAGGCCTCAAAACCTGACTACTTCTTTGACACCCCATCTGATGGGTTCAGCACTGTGACCAGGTTCCAACCCTGGCACCTCTCCAAGAATTGTACTTTATTTATTTTACACAACTATAGAAGAAGACTAAATCTCTGGAACAGATAACAGTTTCAAATATAAAATAGGTGAGCTCACATACTGCATGCAAGGATGCATTCAAAGCTTATTATTGAATGACACAACACTCCATTAAAAATAGATGAAGTCTGATATTTAAATATAAGGGATTATCTTTATAGTTTATAAAATGTAACAATAAATGAATATGATACAATTGTAAAACATAATATGCAGTACACACACACACACAAACAAATAGATACTGGTAATCCCACACAGTTATACTGTACCTGTATATATAATTTACAATCTTTCTAACTATATTACAGGATTCAAAAGGCTACATACATTATTATACAAGTGTAGATTTATTGTGAAATTGGTATAAACAGCAATTCCATAACACAAATATCTGAAACATGAACATACTTTAGACAATTTTTTTTACTGTAACAATGATATAATTACATAATAAAGTACTGTACTAAAAGAAGCAATTGTCACAAGTTTTTCAAACTTTATAGAAACAGAATGAAAAGCAATTCAAAGTATTTTATGTTCCAGTTCACATCAACCATCATCATTGCATTCCTTTGAATGTAAATAAAGTTTTAGGTAATACTTAGTACAATATTAATAGTGTCCAAAGAGAAAAAGACAATGAAATCAATGTTTAAAAGCACCTCTGAACTGTTAGAAGATATAAACCAAACTAAAGTTTTCCACGTTCCTTGGAAAGCTTGTTATCAAGATCTGCCAACTGACTGAGGAACCCATCATTAGGGTATATGGCTCTGTTTTTACGTAGCGTTTGTATTGCCTCAATAGCCGTCATATTCTTTACCATCATGAGATAGGCTGCTGCGACTGTGGCTGAACGGGAAATACCCATGAAGCAGTGTACCAGCACTTTTCCTATAAAGAAATAGAAACAAAGGACTGCAATCATCTTCTGTAACACACAAGAGTGAAGATAACAGAAAATATTTGCCAAAAATATTATATTTACAACTTATTTGTATACTATGCAGAAATAGGTAATCTCTAGTGATGAAGTTTTATCTGATGTTGACATATTGAATGGTAAAATCCTTTTACTCACCACCACTTGAGAGGGCATCATCGATGAACTGGGACCCACTGTCAAAAAACTGGGATATATTTGCAGATGCTATATCAAGGAGCTTCATGCCCATATACTTTATTCCAACATCTTTATAAAATTCAGCATCAGTATCCACTGTAGCAAATTTATTACCTTGTGCAGCATTTAAAACATGTGTTATGCCAACCTTCTTCAGATACTCTTTGTTCTTTGCTGCAGCACTGAAAAACAAACCTTAAATTACAACACAAATTGAAGTACAAAACCAGATTTACTTCAATAATAATAATTTAAGTTCACATACAACAACTTGGTGAACTAGAAGGCTATACTTTGGGTTCTAGAACTAGAACCATGCCCAACTACCAGCCTTTGGGTATAAACCACTGCACTGTGCTGAGCACCTTAAAGCGCAAGATCTGGGGTGCACAGAGCCATATGGCACTTTTAGGTATACCTCGAGGTTACCTTGAGGTGATTTTGGGGCTTAGCGACCCTGTGGCCCGGTTGTCGACCAGACCTCCGTATCTATAGGAAGCGATTCAAAACTCCCGCGGCTAAATGAGGCTCACATGTGCCTCAGGACTCCAGTAAACAGATGCCATCTTGAGAAAATTTTGTCAGCATCCGTATTTGCTGTGAGAGCCTCAGTACTGAGATAGCAACCAAGGCTGGCGCATGCAGGAGTAGCACTAAGCACCGCTGTGCAGCTAGGGGCCCACAGCACCACTTATTAACAGTGAATAAAATAGGTAACTAATTATTTTGCATTGATAGTGTCATAGATTATCCTGATTTTGATAACGACTATGTATTCACTATTATCTGGATGTTGTACAATGTTAGTTATGATATTCACAGCATGAGGTAGAGAAACAGCATCCAGCCATTGTTTCCTGCATCTACCTATCATGAAACTACCTCATGTTCCTTCACAATATAACACTTGTGGAAATGGATTCATATTCAAAATTTTTGTGATAGGAATGTGGTAATAACACCAGTTTTGTAGCCTCATTTTCTGTCTGAAGGCGTAATTGAAACAAGGCATGCTCAGGTTGTTGTGATGAAGGATACTCTTAACAGACACAAAAAAGACTGTGTTGGTTATTCTCAGACCATTAACCAACACACAGAATCTGATGCTTATCCACCACCAAAAATGGATGATATGGTCCATAATCATGCAAATTACAATGTGATTTCTACATCTGACTTGAGGAGTGCTCATCACCAAGTTCCAATCAAGGAATCTGACAAGTAGTGCACAGCTTCTGAAGCTGTTAGGAGGCTGTATCACTTCTGTAGAATACCATTTATTGTTACAAATAGAGTTGCTGCTTTTCAATGTTTGATGGACAAACTTAGAAGAAAATCTCATGAATACTTTACCCTACTTGGATAACATTACAATCACTGGACATACCCAGGCTGAACATGATGAACATCTCCAAAAATTTCTAGAAGTAATTGATCACAGAAACCTGACACTTAATGAATCTAAATCTGTGAAATTGGTATTCTCCATTAATGTTCTCAGCTGTTGTGTAAGGAGATCCAGAGAAGCCTGATCCAGAGAAGATGTATCTGCTTCAAGAATTACCACCACTTATGAATGTAGGGTCTGAGGCCACTGGGGATGTTAGCTTATGCTAAATGAATCCCCAATTTTTCAGGCATGATTCAAACTTTGGTAAAAATCAAGACGTTTCCACTGGGTGAAGCAGCCTTCTCAGCATTTATGTCTTATAAAACGACTTGTGGATGCAACTCTAAAATCCGTCGATGATAACCTGACATTTGTGGAGTGTGATGCCGCAAAAGTTGCCACTTGGCAGTCTTGAACCAAGGTGGCCATCCTATTGCAGTTATGTCCAGTACTATGCATATTACTGAACTACATTATTAAACAGTATAGAAAGAGGCTATCACCATTATAAATGGCAGTGCGGAAATGGTGCAGCCATTCCCCAGCTAAGCGTCATTTTGTGCCGATTACTGACCAAAGCTCTGTAGCATTTATGCTGGACAACAGAAGGTTAACTCTAATAAAGAATACCAAAATGCATCCTTCAGCTATACTGTACATTACTGTCCTGGTTAAAAAAAAAAGGGACAACCTGATAGATACACTGATCAGAAAATTCTGCTGTTCAACATTTCTAACATCAACTTATCTCAAATTCATAGTGGGCTCTGCCATCCTGGGGTGACTCGGCTCTTACATTTTATGAGATCAAAATCATCCTTTGCTTGAAGACGTAAAAGAAACATGTGCATCTTGCAAAGTTTGCACAGAATTAAAGCCCCAGTTTTACTACTAACGAGAAGCAATGCTCGACAAGGTTTCTCAACGTATAGAGTAGGTCAGCATTAATATCCGGGGGCCTCTACCATGAGGGACCTGTAATCCTTATATGCTAACAATCATTGAGTATTTATGCGTTTCTTTTTCACACAATGACTGCGATCAAATGCCTCAAAGCAATATTTAGCTTCGGTGTAATGACCAACTTTATGTCCCAGGAGTTCAAGGCATACCTTTTTCAAATGAGTGTTGTAACAAGCAGGACAATTCCCTTAACATTCCACAGGAAATGCACAGGTCAAATGGTATAACGGCATCATGTGAAAGGCTATTCATCAAACACCGAAATTGCACAATTTAGCAGAATAACATTTGGAATTGCTGTTTCCAGATGCACTACACTCCATTAGATCTCTTATCTACTTTAACACAAGCCCCAAGCAAGCAGTATTTATTTAAAATTTAATTGATGCTCAACTCACTGAAGTTAATTACCATCATGACTTATGTCCCTTGATCCAGCGCTACTTCAATGTTTTGTTAGATTTAGTAAGGCTGACCCTTCTAGTTGACCAGGTTGAGCTCAATGATGTAAATCAAACTTATGCAAGCCTTATCTATCCAGATGGATGATAATCTACTTTATCTGTGTGATTTGACTCCATGTCCATTGATTCTGACAACTCCGATGAAGCAACATGATGCTGGGCCTGATCACAAGAATCAGCGCTGTCATGTCCGTAACATTGGGATGAGAATGATGGACTTCCCAGCTACACCTAGTACTCAAGAGTGTGAATCACCATATGGGATACCCGTGACAATGATCCACATTCTCGAGGAAGACGAAGAATGTCTACCCAGGTACTGAAGCCTTCTCTCCCAATCGTTATAGCTGGGATTAATTAAGATGATGTAGTGTAGTACTTAGTGTGACGATGAGAAGTATTCATTTGTCTGTTTTATTCACTTACTACTAGCAAACAATCTAAAGGAAGAAAAAATCCAGCGTTGACTGTAATGAAATGCCCATTTTCTGGGCGAGCTCCGGAGGCTCACTGAAGCTATCCAAACCGATACGTACAATATTAGTTTGGGATCATCAGTAACGGGAGTTCAGTGCCTACCGGAGACCATGACTTAGAACCATGTTTGCTTAGAGAGGTGCAGGGAGCAATGGCCTATGAGCACTCTACATTTAAAGTATGTCATACTTGCCATCGACTGGGGAAGGCACCCAGAAAGATAGGAAAAACAAAAACCCCAAGCTGGTAAAAATTGCAACCTATTAAAAGCTTGTAAAAATCATCCAACTACCGTGCATACAGTACTTGTTAGTGCCCCCTCCCCCCCCCTAAAAAAAAAGTGGGGTAGGGGGGAGCCAATCAGGCAGGCCAGCCTCTCCACCCTTCAGTTCTTGAATGATGAAGAACTGCCGAATGAATGTCGGGGAGCTTCTGGGGCTCAACCAGAAAATGCCCCCCCCCCCCAAAAAAAAGGTGCTAACGAGTATGCATGCTAGTTGGATGATGCTTTTCTTGTCTTTTATTGGGAAGGGGGGGGGGGGGGGAATTTTGCCTTGTTCGGACAAAAGTTGCAATTTTCACCAGCTTGGGGTTTGTTTTGTTTTGCCTATCTTTCTGGGTGCCTTTCCCAGTCGATGGCAAGTATGACATACTGTACTCTAAATGTAGAGTGCTCATAGGCCATTGCTCCCTGTGCCTCTCCGAGGGGACCAGGTTGTGGCTCGTGGTCTCCGGTAGGCACAGAACTCTCGTGACTGATGACTCTAAACTAATATTGCACATTTCAGTCTGGATAGCTTCAAAAAGCCTCCGGGGCTTCCCATAGAAATGCGTGTGATATTTCTAAATTTCATATTTACTAGACAATTTTTTTTTGTTGTAGGATTGTTGTTGGTTGCAATTCCTTTTTTGTACAAATGTTTTATATATTTTAGATAGTATGTAGTGAACTATGCCTAATAAAGATGAATTGTAGTACAGTATTCAAGAACATTATTATAAATGAACAAACAAATATATAATTACACTTACAGGTCACCAATGTAGAGCCCTGGGTAGCACTCATCCATGCACACCCCAAAAGCCGATGAGATTTTTTCTTCATAGCCAGATAACGGCCTGTAGACTGGTTGTATCTGTTGTATGGCCCTCAGAATATCCTTGCAGGTTGTCAGTTTGGAAGAATCAGCCATGATGTCACAAGACAATAAAGTTTGTCCTCACCAATCTGTATTTCTCTTCCAAAATAAATTTTTCAAGTAAGCCTACTACAAAAAAATTCAAAATTTTCAGAATTAGTATAGTAATTTATAATTGTTTCATAGGTTAACTTATAGTTTGCAAGCTTCTGGAAGGATGCCAGTCTCCAGACATCTACATAGAAAAACCTATTGCATACACACCATTGTACAAAACAAAATCACAAAAAATACCACTAACTCTTTGAATATACTGTACTATACTACAAAAAAATATTGAAACATGTAAGATATATAAAAGAAACAATTCAAATTAATATTATAACCTTACTTTTCCATGATTCAGTGAATGTTTCTTCCATAAAAATTAAGTGACATTTTTTCATGTATTTTATTTAATATGTTCTTTTTTGTTTCACTGATATATTTTTTAAACTGCAGCATAACATTGTAGTAGACACCTAGAGAAGTGCATTTTGGATATGAATAGTGTCCGAGATTGCTTTTCATAATTATCTTTCTTTGTGGTCTCCAAACACTAAACTCTAAATATATAAAACCAAATATATTATTACCTAATTATTTCAATGTTTCTGATTTTGTCTTAGTTTTTTTTGCAGTAATATTATTCAATACAGTGAATTGTGATATATTTATATAATAAAATGTGTGAACCATCGCTGTACTCAAAATTATGGTGTGCATATTGGTGATGTTCATAAAACATTCAATTATTATGTTCATAAAACAATAAACAAATAGTTTTGCTGTTATTACACTATATACACAGGTTATATATAAGTATCTGCACGTTTTGCTCACCATAACGAACCACTAAGTTGGTATTGCGAGTCAAAATGCAACGAGGAGTGACCGCCACACACCAGCCTGCCACTCCCTCCCTCAACAACACCTCACTTGCCCTCATTCTCCTCCTACAATACTGTTTTTGCATTTATTCACTATACACAGATGTTATATGTAAGTATTTACATGTTTTGTTCACCATAACTGTACATCTAAGCTTGTATGGTGAGTAAAGGCACAAAGACGTAGCTACTCACACAGTCAGCTGGTGGCTGCCACCCTCAAGGTCAGACGCACTAATATTTTTCCTCCAACAATACTGCTTGTGGTGTTATTACGCTATATACACACATTATATATAAGTATCTACCCGTTTTATTCACCATACCTGTACAAATAAGCTGGTATGGTGGCCAAAGACTATAGTGGCCACCATTGTCAGGCAGCATCTTATGAGCTCTCATATTTCTTTTACATTAATGACTTGCCAAATGTCTCAGACATTCTTGAACCAATACTATTTAATGACGATATTGCACGAGCTCAGTTATCCGAAAACCGTTGAACTGAATATTTGGGTTATGCAGCCAAAATCATGTCTTGGATAATTTTTTTAGCAAAACTTCGCCATATCCAGACAGAAATCCAGATAACTGGAGATTAGGTTAAGTAAATTTTCAAGAGCCACACATTTCAAGATCTACAGTATCAAACAAGATGATGAGCTACAACAAGGTGAGCTGAAGTTTGTTTTAAAATATTATTTTTTATTTATAGGGTGTGAAAATTTGAATTATGTTGGTTGTGGTACAAAAAAAAAAAAAAAAATGGTGAATATGGCAAGTTTTGGACATCCCCAATAAGAATTCTGCTTATCTGATGACGGGTCCTTCCCATATAGTCAATATCTGAGAGCTTGAGCTGTACTACCTTCATCTTTTCAAATCTCAATCCATAGTCTCTAAATAATATTGCAAATAACAAGATGAAAAGAAGTAAATATGTCAGCCAACAAACTCACACTAAGCTTAGCAAGCTACATTTTATTTGGAAACAAATTACTGAACAAAATACAGATAGACCGTGTCAACATTAATAGTAAAAATTAGGGAAAGTTACTTGACCTATACATAGACAAAACTAAACATTGTCTTGTCCTACTGAGACTAACAAAACCATATTCCTAAATTCTAATACTATTTTTCAAACTCTTCCTATATAAATGTAACAACTCGTCAGCATCACACCAGAAATAAATATCTTTGATATTCCCAGTCAGACCAAATCTATACAAATACCGTGCAAATAAAATTACCAATTACATGGAACTCACTCCCCAATGAATTAAAAAAATTGTCCAACTTTTACTTTATTTAAAAGTATCCCTTCTGTGAAATTTATACCAAACTTCACCCTCACCCTCACCGAATGTTACTAACTCACTCAGTATCTTGTGCTACCCAATATGTTTCAATGTAGAAGCATAACTTATTTTATCACTATGCTGAAGTTTTGAGTGAATTAAAATTCTGTTACAATTACACTTGTTATCTTAAGGACCTGCATAAAATGCTATGTATGCTAGTGACTTTGCAAAACTGTACTACTTAATCACCAACTTGTGTAGTTTCACAACCCTTTGTACCTTCTTGTACTGTATACTGTATATATATCAGGGTCCCAGTAGTACAGTTGGGTTCGTTCTCAATGCACACTCGAGAATTCCGGGTCTGAATCCCACACGGGGCAGAAATGGTTGGGCACATTTCCTTTCATCTAATGTACCTGTTCACCTAGCAGTAAGTAGGTACCCAGGAGTTAGTCAGCTTGTTGTTGGGTTGCATGCTGGGCAGGGTCAGTAATTGGACCTTGGGAAAGACCCCTCGATAAAAGTTTAATGTGTACGAATACACACTGGCTTCCTGTTCCCTGACAATTAATTATTATACAGTATTATATATACGTTATATATAAATAAAATAGATTTATGTACAGATACATATTAATTAATCATTAACACGTTCTGATGTATATTTTATAAATAGAATAATTATTGTTAATATTATACTGTACAGTATATACATTAGGACACAAAGCTGTATTTGATAAATAAAATTATGTTAAAAACGTTAAGTATACAGTACCATACATGAATATAAAACAAATAATTTGACCTTGTTAATCAGTATATATTTAAGGGGATTATTCAGGAGTAACAAAAAATGGTACTCTTATTAAAATCAACTAATATAGTCCAAGTTTTCCTTCCATTTTTTACCAAAAATTATATATTCAAATATTAATAAACTATATACCATAATTATTAGTTTAGCATGTTAGCCACCATAACATTTTTATCAAGCTTTAATAAAATGTATTCAAAATGTACAAATATTAACCTGATGTTTGGAGAGTGCAATCCCATTTTTTTATTATAGCCAATATCTTAATTACTGAACAATTTAGGGCAACATTACATTCATTTCATAGAATACAGTTCAGTTCGTACACATATACTGTACATAGTGGGCACAAAAGCAGCATGAGTGGGCATTTAATAGACTAGATGTATTTAGACTTCACAACTAGGGTAAGGTTGCCAGTTTTCAGCCAGTCATTGGCCACCTGCAACTAAAAAAATAAAACTAGTTCTTACAACATTGGATAATGCTAAACCCCCAAAATAAGTGGGTGTTTAGCATTATCTAAATGCTTCTATCAACATGCTGAAATATTTAAGATAAATAAAAAGAAACTCGAGTAATTATCAAAAGAAGGCACCAAGCCAGAACGGCTGTAAGACTAAGGTGATTTTGTTTCACGACTCCAAAATTCTGGTGCATCTATAAACTGGCGACTTTACCCTCTCTATTAGTTTTCATTCAAGTAGTTCATTTCAGATACAGTATTTCCACACCATCGTACCTCCTTTCTGTAAAGTATGTTATTTAACATACTGTAGTATATATAGTACTGTACTGTACACGATTCTTATTCAAATAACACACATCATTGATAAATCCCTAAATTTAAAACAATCTAACAGCCACTAACACTATTAAAAGGCAACTTGTAAAGTAGGCTTCGTGAGTGATCATCATTGAACCCACAACTGGCTCAGATAATACAAATTCATACATCATGGTGCATGACAAAAAATGCTTCATAAAACTAATACAAAAAAAAATGGCATGTCACTTTGAGCATGAGGTAATTACAGATGGAGATTTAAGCCAATTAAAAGTTAAAAGTTTAATTGATCTCTAGAGGAATTAATACAAATAAACAACTAGCATATTTTGATGCCATTTCAGTATTTTTAAAGATCCCTCAGAATAAAACAACTGACATCCTCTCAAATAAGAGCTGTATACACTTAATAACCCAACTAACATGCTATTGGCTGAATTTGTTGAGCTGGTAGGAGTATACACAGCATTTCGAATGGTTAATTGACCTTCTCAAATGAGCAGGTGAAGGTGATTATTTGTAGTACATTCTTGGCTCGACTCCCTGCACCTTGCATTATCTAAACACATTAGTTCTTGACCTTGGGAGCTTGCCCGTGACCATGGTTCTTGACAGCGTGCCGTGACCAAGGTTCTTGACCTTGACAGTGTGCCATGACTAAGGTTATTGACCTTGACAGCGTGCCATGACCAAGGTTATTGACCTTGACAGCTTGCCCATGACCAAGGTTATTGACCTTGACAGCGTGCCATAACCAAGGTTATTGACCTTGACAGCGTGCCATGACCAAGGTTATTGACCTTGACAGCTTGCCCATGACCAAGGTTATTGACCTTGACAGCGTGCCGTGATCAAGGTTCTTGACCTTGACAGTTTGCCCATGACTAAGGTTATTGACCTTGACAGCGTGCCGTGACCAAGGTTCTTGACCTTGACAGCTTGCCTGTGACCAACGTTCTTGACAGCTTGCCCATGACCAAGGTTCTTGACAGCTTGCCCGTGACCAAAGTTCCTGACAGCATGCCCGTGACCAAGGTTCCTGACAACATGCCCGTGACCAAGGTTCCTGACAGCTTGCTCGTGACCAAGGTTCCTGACAGCTTGCCCGTGACCCAAGGTTCTTGACCTTGCCAGCTTGACCTTGGGAGGAGCTGACCGTGAACGTGTACCCACCTATTTATAACCCACCCTCGCGATAAGACAACCGTCTAATTATAACGACCAAAAATGCACAAGCATGAAGCGAGACACTGTATTTAGCCAGGCCACCCACGGCTCCAGTAGGTCCACCTGCTGCAGGCCTCAGCAGGAGCAGTAGCAGGGAGCAGCAGCAGCAGGTTCTTAACAAGATAAGGAGGGATGAGGAGGGCTGCCTACCTCATGCAAGCACGGCTCAACCTGCCCACACCACACTCCTATCACACACACACCAGTCGCCCTCCGTCGTGCAGGGTAAACCACCACCAGGGCACGCACATGCAATATTGACAACACTTACTGAGACGCGACGTAAAAGATACCTAAAAATAGGCCAGGAGGCGACATGAGAGGCGCAAACCCTTCCACCTTCACCACACGCATGCGCTCTCATACCTCATCACTTCCTCTTACACGCCCTCATCACTCATACTCACACTCACTACACTTCAAACGCTAAACAAAAATATACTACGTGAAAAGCCCAAATTTTGTGAGCTGTCATAGAGGATTAGTAGAGATTTAAGGGATTATTTGGCTGGTGTTTTTTTCGGGGGAGTTTTGTCCGGAGGCGTTGTCGTAGGGCGCCAGACAGGAGGTAAACAACACACCACAGGTGGTGCTGTGCTTGCTGCAGGTGGTGCTGCTGTGCTTGTCACAGGTGGTACTGTCTACTACACGTGGTATTGTGCTTGCCACAGGTGGTACTGTCTCTACTACAGGTGGTGTTGTGCTTGCCACAAGTGGTACTGTCTACTACAGGTGGTGTTGTGCTTGCCACAGGTGGTGTTGTCCTTACTACAGGTGGTGTTGTGCTTGCCACAGGTGGTGTTGTGCTTGCCACAGGTGGTACTGTATCCTCTACAGGTGGTGTTGTGCTTGCCACAGGTGGTACTGTCTCTACTACAGGTGGTGTTGTGCTTGCCACAAGTGGTACTGTCTACTACAGGTGGTGTTGTGCTTGCCACAGGTGGTGGTGTCCTTACTACAGGTGGTGTTGTGCTTGCCACAGGTGGTACTGTCTACTACAGGTGGTGTTGTGCTTGTCACAGGTGGTACTGTCTACTACAGGTGGTGTTGTGCTTGTCACAGGTGGTACTGTCTACTATAGGTGGTGTTGTGCTTGCCACAGGTGGTACTGTCTACTACAGGTGCTGTTGTGCTTGCCACAGGTGGTGCTGTCCCTACTACAGGTGGTGCTGCGCTTGCTACAGGTGGTGCTGCTGTGCTTGCTGCAGGTGGTATTATCTACTACAGGTGCTGCTGTGCTTGCCACAGGTGGTATTGTCTACTACAGGTGCTGCTGTGCTTGCCACTGGTGGTGCTGTCCTTACTACAGGGGGTGCTGTGTTCGCCACAGGTACAGGTGGTGCTGTCCCTACTACAGAGGGTGCTGTGCTCGCCACAGGTGGTGCTGTCCCTACTACAGGGGGTGCTGTGCTCGCCATAGGTGGTGCTGCCCCCACCACGGCAGTATGATGAATGTGCAGGCAGTTGTGAAGGCCTACCTCGCCTCCAAGCACATCACGGTGCCAGAGGAATGGATAACGGCTTGTGTTGAGTGGATTCAATCGGAAAACGCAGGCGTGAATGTGAGTAGTCAAGAGCCTCGTCAACTCAGCATCATGACTTTATAACTTGCTAGTGGTGTAGTTGCTTCATACTTTGGTGCTTTGCATTTTCTTAACCCATTGCCTGTAGCTACATTTAAATATATATTATGTTTTAGTAAGGTCAGATATTATGCACCTAACCCTGCTCTCCTCTCACTATACTATGCACTAATCTATCCCTATCTTACTTATGGTATCTGAGCATGGGGTTCAACCACTACAAACTACCTCGAGTCCATCATCACTCGGCAAAAATCTGCCATCAGAACAATAACAAACTCTTCCTTTAGACAACATTCAGCCCCCCTGTTTAAATCCCTAAACATGCTAAACATAAACTCACTCCACACATTCTCTTGTACCATCTACATTTACAAAACCCTGCTCTTAAATGCAAACCCTATTCTGAAACTCCCTGGACAGATGTAATAGAACCCATAATCATCACCCCAGAAATAAATATATCTTTGATATCCCCAGAGTTAAACTTAATCTGTGTAAACACAATATGCAAATAAAGAAACTGGTCTATGGAACTCCCTAACGAATTGAAAAGCTGTCCAACTTTTGCCTTATTCAAACATAAAACCAAAAAGTACCTAATTTCATCTTCATAGTTTCCTACCTAGTGCTTTAAACTCGCACTGTATCTAGTGGTACCCAATCCCCCAATATATGTACTTGAGCCATATAACTTCACCATTGTAATCATTTATATCATTTTTATATCATGGTTGTTATATTGAACACACATTGTGTGCTACCCAATCCCTCAATATATAAGTACCCAAGCATACAACTTTACCTTGTGATCATTGCTGTCATCGTGTATGTGCTTTATCTTATCTTTGTCAAATTATTATTCAAGCTATCAATGCTTCAATGTACATGTTAACATTTTATAAATTTTGCTAGAAATTATCAACTTAATATTATCTGTTAGATTAAGGACCTGCCCAAAACGCTATGCATACTAGTGACTTTACAAGAATATAAACACATCATGCTATATACTCTCATAAACCCAATGTACCTTCTTATACTGAGGATGTATTACTCCCTCTCCTCTTTGAGGATGTATTACTCCCTCTCCTCTTTAAGGATTCTTAAATCTGATAGCCTGGGAGGTACATGGTTCAATAACTAGTGCCTTGCCTGTTCTATCATGCCTTAGTTCAGAATATTTCTAGTTGAGGTACCATCTTGCAGATACAGTATACTGTACTGTTCCAGACAGTATTGTTTCTGGGGTTTACCTAACAAATTACACAGGTGGCATAAGTTTTTCCAAGTTGGAACCAAGTTAAACTATTCATGAGAGGGTAAACTTAAATCAAATGGTATTACAAATCGATAACAAATTACATAACACAATTTTGTTTTCAAATATTGTTGTTGGTTCTTGATAACTTAGCCAGACATTCTCTGCTTTTATTACTTGAATTGGTTATTGTGATAGAATACCAGCCAGCCAAGTTAACAAAAATGTGTAATTAACTAAAATTGTTTTTACAGATAAACAACAGCCGAGTTGTGTCAGAAAAGGTATACGAGCAGTGGCTGTATTGTGACCTGACTGAGCTGGCAGCATGTTGTTTGCCCTTTGGTCTCCAGCAGAAAAGATCCACTTACATCACTGGTCACTTTGCCCTGCAGGTATTATGACAACGACTTTTAAAACAATGCTCAAACAAATTTGGCCATGGAACATACACAGCTACTCTGACTTTTGATGACACTGCTGCTTTAATTTGGCCATAAAAATAATTATATTCAGATTTAGCAGAAGTCTGCAGGAAGCATTCATCTTTCCATATATTACTTTATTCCTGGAGACATGTTCAGGACAGTCAATTTATTTTCTCTTATATTGTTAAAATGCATTCTCTGATCATGTAAAACTAAAAAAAAATATGTATATATATATGTAACATACTTTAGCAGTGATGTAGCAGGAAAGTTGAGCAATTTATGAGCGCTAAGTGAATAGGTGCTCGGAGACACTCGATGCAGATGCAGAGATCTGATGTAGCAAAATACCCAGAAATATGCTACATACATTGCATTGCTATTGTTACTTCAAACACTGCTATTATCATTAATAGTCTCCGTCACCAGTCTCCGTGGTGTAGTGGTAAGACACTCGCCTGGCGTTCCGCGAGCGCTTTGTCATGGGTTCGTATCCTGGCCAGGGAGGATTTACTGGGCGCAAAGCCTTAACTGTAGCCTCTGTTTAACTCAACAGTAAAATGTGTACTTGGTTGTAACAACAATTCTTCGTGGGGGTCGTATTCCAGGGACCTGCCCGAAACGCTACGCGTACTAGCGGCTGTACAAGAATGTAACAACTCTTCTATATATCTCAAAAAAAAAAAAAAAAAAAAAAAAAAAAAAAAAAAAAATAGCAGTGATGATTTGTCATTAAATCATGAATATGAATCATTTTATACAAGATTGCTTTCTAAAGGAATGCGAGGTCACTTTGCATGATGCGTAGATTCACAAACCCTGGCTTACGTCAAACAGATAGCGCAGTTATTCAAAACAAGCATGTTTTTTCTTTCACAGGTAAAGCATATATATAGTGGGCATGTAAAAACACGCACTTATTCAAATTCAACATTGTGTCAAAATTTCAAAGCTATCGGTAAATAGGTTTCGAAAAGTTCCCTCGCATGGAAAAAAACATGTGAAAAACACAGTTTTTCAAAGAGCATGGTTTTCCTGTCACAGATGTGACATCTATATAGTATATATATAAAAACTTGCTCGGATGCGAATGGAACGTTGTCAAAATTTCAAAGCAATTGGTGAAGAACTTTCGGATTTTAGCGATTTTGAACAAACGAGCATTTACATTTTTACTTATATAGATTATTAAGTGGTGCTGTGAACCTCGTGTACCTGCAGGCATTTTGAATCGGTCCCTATACCTAAAAGTGCCTTATGGCAATCTGTGCACCCCTGAGTGGGCGCCTTAAGATGCTCTGCACAGTGCCGTGTTTAAGTGAATCACTTGTTCTGTGCGACTCATTTGTGGTAATTGTTTGGGGATTTTAGAGGCTTCAGTTTCTTTTCCCACCAATGTGTGTAAAGGTGCACTGACTTTCTGGAGGCTTTTTTGGTGAGGTGACGGATTGTCAACTGCTCTCGGCACCTCTGTGAGGGGGGCCAGGTTCTGGCTCTGGTCCCCGGCAGGCCAAACAGAACTAGCTGCTGCTGATGTGACCTTTTAGTATGAAGCCATTTCAGGGAGCCACCAGAGCTCCTCCAGAAATTAGCATTTCATTACATTTAATGTTGCATTTTTACCTATAGAATGATTCATTTTGATGCAAAATGTATGAATAATGTAAATAACGTAAACATGTATATATTTACTGGCTAGGTGAAGAGTAGAAAGTTGGTGGGTGGCACCCATCCAAATCTGTCAACGCCAAATCATGTCTTGCTGACACAGCAGTGTTTGGCGTAGGACTCCTGTGTTGACCTTGGGTGTTTCTGTGATCGTTTCTTCATATTTTAGTTCATTCACTATAACATTTGTGTTAAATAACTAATTTATATACTGTACATGTAATTTACAAAAAGCAAGTATTGAGTACATTACTAACTATAAGGATTCACTACATCGTAAGAGCTATTATATCCATATTAGCATCATCAGTATAAAACCCATTCAGTAATAGTTTAAATCAAAGTATGATAACCACATTGCTCTGTGAATCGGCATGTGATGATAACCACACTTTGAGGGTTAAAAGATCAATATGATTAAATATTTTGTTGTATGGATTGAACAGAGTGTAAAGTGCCAAGGTGTTTCTCTGCATATAAACTTGCTTAATTTTCAGGTGAACCAAATTCGTGATGTTGGCCAATCAGCATATTCTCAACTGCAGAAGGTTCAGCGTGTAGACACAGTAAATGCAGCTATATCAGCTGAACAAACACATCAGGTGAAACAAAATTTCTTCTTTGTGTAAGCTATCATCATCATCATTGGTGGATGAAAGGATTTCATATATCCTCTATCTTTTTTTCTTGTCTCTTTCTTTTTTTTTTTCTACCCACAGACCATATGACTTCGAGTCATATTTCTTATCTGGTACTAATTCTTTTATCTTACAGAATCTATTCAGGGATCTTCTTATTCGTGATTAAGTGATATGGTGCACTATGAACAGTAGTGAACTGTGGTTATACCTTGATGTAAAAATTACAGTGAACATAGTAGATGTTTGAACTATAATGTGAGGTGGATAATTTGTACAAGAAATTAGTCAATGATTATAAAGGGATGTTTAAAGGCAAGGCATGCATGCATGCATGCATGATAGATTAAAGGCATATATGTAAGGCATGTAAACATGCCTTAGTTACAAGGCATGCAACTAAGAAGTTACATTTGTGGGGAAGTCTGGCTCTAGATTATATGCTAATAAAATAATATATAATTCTAATATGCTCAAAGGACCAGAATTCTATTCTAAATGAGAGAACCAGTGGTTTGTGGATCTCTGATTAAATACAATTAAATTCTAATAAATACAACAATCCTATTAATATATAATAAATGAACTGTAGATTCTATAAATTCTAAAGCCGCTTCCCATAACACATTTTGGGGGCTCTTTGGGGCTCTTCCTATTCTTCCTTGCAGCCTATGATCATTATACCACCATAAACACATTCCATCTGCTGTATGCATTATATTCCATCTACTGTATGCATTATACTCCATCTACTGTATACATTATACGGTATTCCATCTACTGTTTTCATTGACCTTCAGTGCACAATAAATCCTAGTTCCTCTGTTTTTACCGAGAATTTATACTGTTTATTGTCTTGCTTGTAACAAATATCTTCTTAAATATTTTATGATGTGTAAGGTATTGCGTATCCTGACATGGCTTTGTTTCTATTTCCTCAGCCAGCTTGGGAGCCCAAGCCATCAAGGATGCTGATGCTGCAGATGACAGATGGGACAAGTGTTGTACAGGGCATGGAGTACCGTTTGATACCTAGTCTCAATGCCAATCTTAAACCTGGCTTAAAGGTATTAATGGTTAATATTATTTTTTTACTTTATTCTACTTTTTTAATTCTACTTTAGGATTACTGGGTAAATATTGGCCAGTAATAACCATCCAGAATCTCTAATGATGATTTTGTTTTAAGCTCATTGGCCCCTTATCAATTTACATTAAGGTTATATCATTTTATCATTTTGAATTTAGTCTGAAACCATGGGCATGGGGTTGATTAAGCTTAACCATCATACTAATATGCTATGATAGATAAGCTTTGGTACAAGAAATCAATGTGTGGGGATTGAGAAACAATGCAGGAGACCTCAAAGATCATGAAGCTACCTGTGAAAATCTAAAAGACTAAAAAGTGATGAACTCATGGCAAGTGACTCATTGAGGTATACTCTCCACTGAGTTCCCTGCTCTGTCGTGTAGTTCAGACACGATTATTTACTAAGATACTTGTTTGCCTGGGGCTAGAGTCACTCAGAGCCTGGCAAATTCTTGCTGTCTTGACAGGAACAGTGTATAAGCCTTGACTGTTTCCAAAATGCCACTGTTGATGTATAGCATTCTAGGAAGGGGTACATATCTTTTCTTAACTATGTTAGCTTGTAACAAATATCTTCTTAAATATCAATTGTGCAGATACTGTTTGGTCACTTAGGTGTCATGTTATTGATTTTGTACTCTTTTTAGGAATTTTCAAGGTTCATAAATTATATATACAGTACTGTACAACTTTTCCCTAATTCAGTCTACATTGAACAAGGATCACTGAATCACAGACATCATCTTCAGAAAGAATTTACTAATGTGAGCTTATCTCTACAGCATCTGTTATTTTTTGGCAGGTCATGATATCTGGAACTATATGTGCCCGTCGAGGAGTTCTGCTCTTGACTCAAGAGCACATAACTATTTTGGGAGGGGAGATTGAGGCCTTGCTTATTCCAAATGCCTTAGAAAATGTTCTTGCCAGGCATTTGTAAGTAATGTACAATTTTTTCAGTTTCCTAAGTTTGTAAGATTAAAAAAGTGAAAAAGACATGGAAGCAAGAAAGTCAGTAGAGAATATATTGAGATTTATTCACCACTTCCTCTACCATAAATGGTAGAGGAAGGGGTGTTTTATTGATCTGTATCTACACCCCAATGTTTTAGTACCTTCCTGTAGCTTCTCATCAGGGAGTGACCATAGTAGACATTTTCCCAGGAGGAACTTAACATTAAATACATTTTTCAGTCTTCTTGTTAAATGGTTCACAGGTATTCTACTAACATATGCATATCACCTCAGTGTATTGTGTTTCACCCACTACAACACATTTAATATTCTCTCCCCTTACACATCTCTCATATATTTCCTCATTGCTATACCATTCCAGCATAGTTTTATAAACAAAACATCCACTGCATGTACTCATGAGCACACACGGCCCTTTTCTATATCCAAGTTTCACTACAGTATATCAGGGCTGTGAGTAATATACTACCTCACAGTTCTTTCTTAACTTCCATACTAACATAAAACTCCTCTAAAAGCATACTTGGGTGGCCTGAAGCTTTATGTGGAGGCTGCCGATCCTCTGACCTCTTTGTGGTGACGTAGATGTCATCTGGTGACAATCGACGTAGCATCTAGCATAAGAGTAAATGGATTTTCTTGTGATTCTATCATTCCAGTAAAAATCTTGCAGGGGAGGATTGAGTGGATTGTTCTCCTTTTTTTTTTTTTTTTTTTTTTTTTTTTTTTTTTTACTAGTTGACTGATAACGAATTAAGATTCGTCAGTCTCCCTGCCCCAACTTTGGGACAAACCCCATTTGAAAAGTTGCTTACCACTGGGGAAAAGGTCTACTAGATTCTGGCATGTACTCGAGGCTGGCCAGGGACCAAAAGAGGAATAAATTCTGAAAGGGGCATTTCATTTCACTTATTGTCTTTTATATTTGTATCCTGAATTATGCCTTCTAGTTGATATCTCTCTCTTACTCTACTTTGATCACAACCTATCAACATCTAATATATCATGTCTTGTAGAGGTGCTGAGGAAAATGAACAGCCAAGAGATTATGAAGAGACAACTTCTACGCAGGTGGCACCAAGTCAGACCTCCCAGTATTACCCTTCCCAGCTCAACTCGGCTCCCAGCCGATCTCAAAATTCTCGTCCTCCTAGAAGAGGAGGTACACAAGTTTCATCTGGAAATAGGGGCCAGGTATTTATTTAGCCTATTATAATGTGTAATCATGCAGGTCATTGTATAATTACTTCTGAAGGGTCCGAATAGCGGCTCCCTGTTTAGCTACACTGAGATAGCTCCAACCATACATGTCACGTCAGTCATGGGAGTTCTAAATAGCGTACAGGAGACCAGAGTTAAGAACATGGCCTCCCTCGCAGAGGTGAGGCCATGCAGGGCATCTTAAGATAACACTCACCAAAGAAACACACCCTCAGAAAGAAAGCGAAGCAAGGCTGCAAGATGAAAAGGTCACAAGGTAAACAAACAATGCAGCGTCTATCCATCCATCTATATATCTGTGTCCTTCTATCTATTCATCCATCTTTGCATCTCTATTCATCTGTATACATACATACATACATCTATCTATATCCATTCATCTAAACATTCATGTATCTATCCATTCATCTATATTCCTATTCATCTATCTTCCTATCCATCCATCCCTTTATTCATCTATCTTTATTCATCCATCTACTCATCTGTCCATCTATCCATTCATCCATCTTTCCATTTATCCATCAACCCACCCATCATCGACTGTATCCATCCATCTATCTAATCTCTGTTTGTCTGTCTGTCTCTTTCTCTCTGTCTTAGCTCCCTGTGTTTCTCTCTCTCTTTGTCTCTGTCTCTCTCACTCTCATAAAAGCCATTATTGTCTAGTGTTTACATTGTCGCCGACAAGGGGAGCTGAGCAGTATGTAATAAAACAGTTACCCTGTACTCAAGAGAAAGGGCGTGATGTAAGAAACCTTTGAAGTAGGGGGAAGAATGTTTATGCGAGTACAGGCAAATTATTGATAGCATGAAATTTCTGTTACTTTTTCCAAGATCAGTGAATAATGGTGTGTATTACTATAAGAATACACACCATTAAAAAAAAACAAAAAAAATTCTTTAAGGGTTTTTCAAAATATTTGACCATGTATCCAATGGGCAGTGTAAAAAATTGTCATGGGAGGGTCTGAATGTAGCACTAGCATATTCCCTTTTGAATTCTGATGACCCCCAAAAGAGCCTATGTTCAACCCGTACATCAGACCATTCCCTCTGCTAATTTAGATGAGGTTAGCCCCAAGCATCTGGCCTCCAACTTTGCGCACACACACACAGACATTCTCTCTCTTATAGTATATATTTTGCTTGAATGTCATCAATATAAAATTGATTTCTCTCTCGAACTCTTGATTTATCATTTGTTGTCTATATTGTGTACTGTACCAAGTTATAATTATATTTTGTTTACTCCTAACAGACTGGTGTCTCGGTACATTCCACCAGTGACTTTGATGACTTGGGCGATGATGACTTCCTAGACTCAGACATTGAAGCTGTTTTAAGCCAAATTGAGAATCAGGCAATGCGGGTTTCTTCAAATACATCCACATCCACCCGGCTGGCAAATAACAAATCATCTGTCAACCAATCAAAAGCTAATCTGGGTGTACCTGGAACTTCTAGAAATGTTAATTACAGAACTATTAATGAATCGAGCAGTAAGAGTTTGAACCCAACTAATACTGTAAGTGTCTCGCATAATAATCCAATCTTGGAGGATGGAGGTATGGATGACGAAATGAATGTCGACAGTTCTTTTTTTACTGATGATTTTGATGATGAGATCTTACTGTCTGCAGAAGGTCAAATTAATGAATCATCGTCATGTTCAGAAACATCAACAATAGCAACACCTCGGTCCACCAGCAAAAGTGCTCAAACGTTATCAGAATCCTCTAAGCAGTCGAGTAGTTTCTCTAACTTGCCAGCAACTTTACAAAGTAAAGCACTGACAAGCATTAGACAAGCTAAATCTTCTTGTATTAGAACATCAATGCCAAATATTACAAATGTTCAACCACTAGCTAATAAACTAAGCAAACTAAACCAACCAGTAGCATTAAAAAAAAATAACAAACTTCAATCAAAGCAATTGAACCTAAAGAGTTTTTTCTCCCAGCAATCGAGCCAATCTTCACGAAATAACAGTTCATTAGATTCCAAAAAGTTTAAGCAGAATGTGAAAAATAAAGATGATATTCAACAAGATTTTCTCTCCGAATGTGAAGGAACTTTACACTCTGAATCGTTAGATATGGAAGCTCCAGGTGCAGTCGGGGCACGGCCTTCAGATTTAAAGCTAACAGTAACACAAATGTCTAAGCAAGAACCCCCTTTTACGTACATGATCTTCATACCAACGAAACCAACTGTTGCTCAGGTGCGTGATCTTTTGTCAATTTGTTTAATACTGTATGTATATATATTATGTAGCCATACATGCCTTAACTAGCAAAACATTTTGAAACTGCTCAACTTACTATTGGCATCTGTACCATATACTTGTAAAAAGACAATTTTTTGTATTTTCTTTTAAGAAATTTAGATCCATTTTCTGAGCTATGTTATTTGGTTGCTTCCTAAGGCAAAAAATGTGATGTCACCAGAACATGTCTATTCTTAGTCAGGGGGAGGTCGCAAGGCTGCATCTGCTCAGCAGGGTTCTCTGTTGGGTCATGCTGATGCTACAGAATACACTGCAAAATTCTTAGTTCTTCCCAGTATAACTGCCAAAATCCATATTCCAAAAATCTCAAAGCTCTTTCAAACATAAATTTGGGGGGAGGGGGAATTATATTCACCTGAGGGCATCCTGCCCTCATTTAGTTTCTGTCAAGTTTGATCTGCTGTGTACTAGGTCTTGTGTGTATCTTTGTTCTGGAATTTACAAGATTCCTGTTTACAGTGAGGTGTTGTATATGCTGGGCTATGTTTTGTAGTATTCCACTTCCCTTTGCCTCTTTTTGCTATAGGTGCCATTGATTGGGGCTTGCCTTTTCCTAGTTGCTTTCTGGGCCTGCCTTGCCTTGCTATAGTTGGAGCCAGGTCAGTTGAGGCACACCCAAAGTAATTACTAAGCTATGTAAACAAAATTACTGATATGTTCTCCCTTTTCCCCTTTCCTATGTATGTTTGCAAGGATCAGTGTTTGTGTGCCAAGTTCGCAGATAGCCTACTGGTTCTTTACTCAACCTTCAATCTTGGACCTTTAATTTTTTACTAGATTTTTCCTGATTTTTTTTTGTGTCCATTGAGGTGCTGCTGGTAGGAACTGGCAAAAGATTGAGAAATCCCAACTGTCTCCTTTTCCCAAGTCACATGACATGGTGACATGACAATTTGGACGGATACTTGTGACAGTGGGGGGAGGAGGTTGACGGAGCCTCACGTGCCTAACATTGACCTGGGTGAACTCTGAGCGCTAGTTCATACATTAACCAGGGAACAGGATCAGAAAAGAGCTTTTAATTGTACAAAAACTACATTTTTAATCGTTAAACTACAGACGGGGAAGTGTCATATTCATTTATGATTATATGAAACAATGAACATGAAACACATGAATAATGAATAAATATATTTTTATCTTTTCTAATAGGAATTCATAGTGAAGGGTTTCATCATGACTTTAGTGTCACGTCTGGAACAATTGGCAGGTCTGTGGAAACTGACTGTCATGATAAACGATGGAACTGCTTCGTGTGAGGTGGATATCGATGACCATGTAAGTGCCAGTATGAAAGAAAATGTCTTTGTTCTGTATGAATTATAGGATTTGTCTTTATATGTTGTACAAAACTTTGAGGAATGTTAGGCAATACATATGCAGGTTTTCTAGTAAGAGCCCCTTGTGACTTCCTGAAGCTACTATGCTGAGATGGTACCATCTACTTGGTCACATCAGCCATGGAATTTTATAGGCCTGCTTGGGACCAGCACCAGAACCTGGCCCATTCAAAGATGAACAGAGAGTTGTGACATTTATTTTTGCCACCTCACTGGGGGACGGTATCCAGAAAGTTAGCGAGTCAAAACAAACAACTGCTGGGTTTAAGAGACCGACGCCTCAAAACCCACTTAGAGAACTCCCCCAACTATGTAAACAAATGAGTGAAATCTCGGCACCTCCATGAGCTTGTTCGCCCCACCTTCCCCCACTCATTTGGGGGAGAGGGAAGGTACCTTTCTGTTAGTTGGAGCCTCAGCCCCAGTTCTATAGCTGATGTGGTTACCAAGTTACCTCTCTTTCGTGCTGGTTGTGGTGTTTGCCCTTAATGGCATTTTCTGTACACTGCAGTGTAGGGTGTGAACCAAGCTTTGAGTGTGATTGGAGGTGCATATGTACAGGGATACCTTCCCTGTATGCTACCTAGTGCTGCCTTTGCATTGCCAGGGTTATCTTCCCTCGAGTGTTTAAGAGTTGCTGCATTAGAGGTCTTCCTTTGCTTGTGGTGGCCATATCCTCGGGTGAATCGGGTCTCGGGAACTTCCTGTCTTAACTCGTAATGGGAGCAACTATGGCTGGGGGAGTGCACTGGTGGTTTACACACGCTTCTCTCAGCGTGCTGAGGTTGGCCTTCGAAGCTGCTTAGACTTGGCTGTGTATGCTGACTTTTAGGTATGGCATAGTGTTTTCCAGTGCCTGTGTGTTCTGCTTGAGTTTCCGCTTCAGGCTTTGGAAATTCCCTGTAGGTTGGGTGGTCCTATAGTACCTCATTGCACATGGTGCCACCCACTAAACCTGCTCCTGCTTCACAAGCCTGGCCTCAGGCCGGGCTTGGGGAGTAGAAGAACTCCCAGAACCCCCATCAACCAGGTATGTAAGTTTGAAGGTTGCACGTCGGCCGTGCCAAGTGGTGACTGTCATTCTTTCTGCCTTCTGTATAATGAATAATGTGTGGTTTGTTCACCCCATGTAACTCTTCTTTCTGACCCTCCTGATGAGGTTAGGGCTTATCAGGCAGCTACTAGTTTGCATGTTAGGTTTTCTAGGTTGCAGCAGTCTAATTTGTGTTCCCGGGTGGATGCCCCCAGAGCTGCTCCATTTGGTGTTAGGGACTCGGAATGAGAGTTGTTGGTAAATTCTATGATGGCTACGTCTGCACCTCTTCTTCCTTCCCCTTTGGGCATGGTTCGCCCTTCCTCTGTTCTTCTTGTTCCCAGGCCTCGGTGCCCTTATGAATGTGGAGTGACCACATCAGACTTCGTGCGGGCCAGACCTCACACCTGGTTATGATCAAGTATTCTGTGACCACCTGTATTTGTTGTTGCAGACGATTTATCTCAATTCTGGGTTGATCTCTGATCCCCATTTGCAAAGGAATAATAAATAGCAAAAGCCCATGTCCCTGATGGACAGTCTATCCAGTGCCTGGCATGTTCAGTCTCTTGTAATGGCCAGTGTTTAAGCAAAGGTGCTAATTAGGCATTTCATTACTCTCGGTGATCTATATTTTAAGTTTAATAATACTGTACATTATGCCTTAGAAAATGCTTTATAATTTTGCAAGATTTTCTTTTTGATTTTTTGGAACTGCAATCTTGGAAGACCTTTGTTTTTTCTCACTCTCAAAAGGGTTAAATTGTCACACTTTATTTTGTCCATGTTTAATTACCATTAATTATCACAACACTGTAGATGCAAGCAATGATGATAAGTATGTTGCTATGCTTCCTCTTGGTTCAGAGCATCTTTGCTTCTTCTAGGTTCTACAGGAACTCATAGGATTGAGTGTTGAGGAAATGAATCTGAAAAAAATTGAAGCCAAGAGTAATCCAGTTCTCAAATCTCAGCTTGCTAAGGTATGTAAATACACAGTTGTTGATTGCCTTTCCTCAAATTACATTTCTGGGGAAAGCCCCTCCCTGAAGCTACTATCTCTGTAACCCATCCTCCGAATTGACAGTACGATTTAATACTAAGTGTAATACAGCCCTGTAAGTACATTTTCTTACTGTCATAAACAGTGCATAATTGCACTTATGGGGCTGTTACATTTACCCAACCCCCTCCCCCGATTTAATTCTCCTCATTTTCTGTTAAGACACTCAGAATTTTAGGATGAATTTTTCAATTTCAATTTGCTATACACAAGTTTTAAATACTGTATCAGGAATTTCTTTTTCAGGTTTATTAAACAATATAGATTTTATACAAAATTTTAAAATATCCTGAGTTACTTTACAATTTATTGATATATTTTAGTTTTGTTTTATTAGTTTTATAAAACTGTAATATCAATATAGCTATAGGTTAAGTACTAATTGTAATTAAGAAGCAATAAAATTATCTTCAAAAACTAAGACAGTTAGGTGAGGTTGTGGTTTTCTATTCAGTTTTTCAGGTAAACTCAAATATTCACAATATATTTGACAGTACGATTTAATACTAAGTGAAAATAAGTACAATTCCTAACTGCTATGAATAGTACATAATTGCACTTATTTGTCTTCTTACATTTACCACCCAATTTTTGGAGGATGGGCTGATCTCTGATAGCGTGCCATACTACTAGGTACCATTAGTCGCCGAGTTCTATTGGCCTACCAGGGGCCATGACCCAGAAACTGGTCCTCTTTACAGAGATGCAGGGAGCAGTGACAATAACATGTGAAGGAATTTATTCATGTCTGCTACCCACCAGGAAAGGCACCCAGTTAGTAAATTAAAGAAAACCTCAAAACCAAACACTGTACAGACTGCAACCTTAAGAACTGCCAAAAGAACTCCCTAAACTGTGCAAACAAGGGGTCGAAAATTCACGAAATTAGCAGCAGGCTGTTTGTCCCATCTCCCCCCCCCCCCACGCGCTTCGTGGGGGAAGCAGGGAGGCAGCCATGGTCAGCCAGCCGCCCCACCTTTAGTTCTATTCTGATGATAGACATGTGTCAGGTCTCCTCTGTCGCCAGTGTTTTGATTTCAACTAAGTCGTGGTGTTTTGCCTTTGTTGCTGTTCCTGTACACTTTTGTGTAATTTGTGTACTGTACTGTGCTGCATGTGCTCAGGGTTCTCTTCCCTCACCAAATTGTGCTCGCAAGGGTTGAGTTTCGGCTCTTTGGTCCAGTCTTTCAACTGTCAATCAACCAGTGTACAGATTCCTGAGCCTATTGGGCTTTATTATATCTACATTTGTAACTGTGTGTATGGAGTCTGCCTCCACCACATCACTTCCAAATGCATTCCATTTATGAACTACTGACACTAAAAATGTTGTTTCTAATGTCTCTATGGTTCATTTGGGTACTCAATTTCCACCTGTGTCCCCTTGTGCATGTGCCCCTTGTGTTAAATAAACTGTTTTTATCTGTCCCCTCAATTCCTCAGAATCTTACATGTGGTGATCATGTCTCCCCTAACTCTTGTCTTCCAGCATTGTGAGGGTTTAGTTCTTGTAGTTTCTCCTCATAGCTCATACCCCTTTGCTTAGGTACTAGTCTGGTGACATACCTTTGAACCTTCCCTGTGTGCACCATAGTGTTCCCCTTCTGCTGCCAGTGTTATCTTCCCTGGAGTGTTCAGGGATTGCTCCATTAGAGGTCCTCCTCGCTTGTAGTGGTCGTTTGCCCTGGGCGAGTTGGTTGTCTTTGACTTTGCTCAGGTCAGGAGTGATTTTGGCTGGCTGGCACATTTGGTTTGTGAGCTGCACTCATTGTGTCAAGGTTGACCTTCACAGCAGCAAGAGCCTGGCTGTGTTTACTTAGTGTCTCAGTCACTAGACACTAAGGGTCACTTCACCTGCAGGCTTTGGAAATCCCTCGTTGGTTCAGTAGTCCTCTGGCTACTTCCCCGGAACCCACTCTTACTTTGTGATTTTGTGTGACTTGCACATCATCTGTGCCACATGGCAACATTCATTCCTTCTGCCTCCAGGCCATATTGCCTATTGCGTTGGTGACACCTCTAACCCTGAGTTATGTGGGGTCTGCTGCCTTTGTTGCTCTCCTTCTGGCCCTTCCAGTTGGGTTTGGGCTTATCTGGTAGCAACCACTTTGCATTTTAGGTTTTTTAGGTTGCGACAGTCTGGGTTGCGTGCCCGGTTGGATGCCGCTGATTTTTGTAGGAACCTCAGTTTGGTGATGTTGGTAAACTCTGCCTTGGTTCCATCCACATTGCCTTTTCCTTGCCCTCTGGGCATTGTTCGCCCTTTTTATGAACCTTTCCCCCTGCTTCCAGCCCCTGAAGCATCTTGAGGTTTTGGGGTTGAGGCAGGATTTACAGTAGCTTGGGGTGTGACTTGGGTACCTCCTGGGGGTTGTTCCTCCGTATTCAGCCATAGTGGCTGAATGGTGTTGTCATCATATATATGTATGAATGAGACAAAGAAATCACAATGACATGATATATGAACAAGAAAATCATTTTGGGTCAATGAGGTGACTTAAATGAGTCTTCAGGTGATTCCCAGACATCTGCCTTAACCCACTCAGCCACAATAGGACAAAATTCTATCAACCAGGAGCTCTACTGAATTCACTGGGAGGTTCTGGAGGTGAACTGGTGCCCAACCAGGATTTTTACGATAGGCCCGCCTACACTCTGGCCTGTGGGTAATGGTATTCACACCCTTACACCCCCTCCTTTGTTTCCCTCTATTCTTTTGTCAACATAATGAACTCTCTGTAGTCTTTACAGCTGCAGCATATGTATATTACTCTAACCTTAGACTAACTGCCAATAGTGTAGTGTTGTAATATATTGTGTCCTCTTATAGATTTGACTACAATGCATTGTGTGTATATATGTAGTGTAGTAAACTATTATGTTGTCTTACAGAGTGTTGGTGGATGTCAGCAGAAGCTGATCTCCCTATGTAGTCTTCTACACCTACAAGTGTCGCCACACTACACAAAACCTAGACTAACTGCTATAAGTTCTGTCACTACCAATGTGGCTCAACAACTTGCCAAAAGATTATCTCTGACCACATCAAGTTAATAATCTAATTTGACAATAGGTGTTGTTTTAATTTCCAAATGACTTGTGAAAAATGTAAATTTTTATTATCGAGATAAAACGTTCATCCCCTTATAAGGTTTTTTTTCTGTCCCACACTTTTGTATTCACTGTAAACATTTGTGAATTTCTTAATAACTTATTAACTGCATGAAGTCAAAACTAAGCACCAAAACCATAGGTCATTTAGTAGCCCTCTGCTTTGCCTCCATGATTGGGATACTGGGGATACTGTGCACCAATGTACGTCTTTGTTTCCCTCTCCTCTTTGCCTATACAAAACTGAAAGCATTTCTCCTACTCACTCTCGCTGCTCCCCTCCCACTTCTGTGACTGGGTTGAGCTCCAAGCAACCTGTGGTAATGACTTCATCCCCTAGTGTGGCTTCTCCTTCCATTGTCATGACTGTGCCTTTCCATAGGGGTTCTTGGCACCATCCCTGGGTTAGCACTCGTTTGCTTCCTGCTTCCCCTGCTACATTTTCAGGATTTGTTCAGCCTCGCTTCGTGGGCAAAGTATCATGATGTTTGTACCGATGACCGTACTCACCCTGATGATGTACATATCCATCGGCACTTGGTTAACTCTGTGGATTCCCAGGTAACTTTTAACCCTACTTGGAATGGCACGCGTGTTGTTATGGCCTTTTCTCAGGAGGCGGCTGTTCGCCTTGCTGTTTTTTCCTGCCTTGGCGAGTCCCTGGTTCGGGTGAAAAATGTTGTGTTCCTCATCCAGCTCCGCACATGATACCTGGCCCATGCTGACATGAATACATTGCAAGCTCCCTTCTTTCCATGCTTACAGCTTTATCTCCCTTGCATTTTACCTCTTGTTTTTTTCAATTATCTAGAATAATGTACATACTGGTGCTGTTTACTTTGCATTTCAGTACCCTCTCTATCTGGCCTTACTTTAAAGATCATAGACACACTGTCTTATACACCTCATTAAAGAGCATACATACCTGCACCTGGTCATGTTGTGTAATCCTATGTAATCTATTGGGTATAATTGGCCATGTCCCAACTCTGTGATACAAACCTATAGTCTTTCTCTCTCAAAACCTTGTAAGCTCTACATAAACTCAAATACAGTACTTGTAAATAAATAGCTCTATGGAATTTATAATAATTTTTATAGTACTGTATTAGAGAAAATGGTTAGCATTACACTTGGTTACAATTACTAAATGGAAGATATAAATAAATGAAACTGCAGAAGACCTATTGCCCCATTATTTAATGACAGGATGATGAAGAAGCAAATTTTTTAATTATATTATATTTAAAAAAAATATTCAGTATAAATTCTTAAAAATTAATAGCTTGAATGTTTTTACATCAAATAATTTCTTCTTTTACATAAATAAGCTTTCTGGAATGATGATGAAACACTTTATGAGAAATGGATGTAATATTTACAGTGCACATATCACAGACTCGAGTCGCCACACTTTTGTTTTGTACACACTTATATATGGTGGCAACATATATACAGGGAACCCTTACTATTATGCATAGGTCAGCCTCTAGGCAAGGTGGTAATTATCAGGGGAAGCACTAAGCCATTACCACTATATAGCACTTGGAAGGGATCAGGATAAGGATTTAGGATAGAGAAATAGTGCCCAACCACTTGGACGGTCGGGAATTGAACGCCGACTTGTGAGACTGTCGCTCTACCGTCCACCCCAAGTGGTTGGGCAAGGCAGGATCTAGGTTTGCCTTTCATGATATATGCAGGGTTGTATAGTACCAAGGTAAATACCCCGTAGGCTTATTTGGCAATTATTCTGCAATGTCAAACGTATATCTTCTAGATTTACTCACTTTTGTAATTACACCATACATTAACTAACCCCCATAAAAGGCATTTAAAGTTGAGATTATAAGAGTATTTTGCTTTGATAGTGACTGAACTCAATGGCTTTGTAAACTGATGGACTCATCAAGGTTAGTGTTATTAATTATTGTGTTACATAATAATCCCAAATTATGCATGAATTATTGAGAAGAGTAAGAGCCAATTTTTGCTCACACCATTTCTTAAATTTGGAAATGCACCTGGAATAATGATGTGATAATCTTAGTGTTTGTGGTTAATATACAAGCTAAAGAAGTCACCACTGCCAGGTATCACTTGGACAATTTGTGACCATGTGGGTGTTACTATTTAACTCAGTTTTGCACCAGTGTATAATTTGTTCACAGCACTTGTATTATTTGTCTTGTGGATAGGTATAAAGAGCTTTTTTTTTTCAGATCAATTAGTCAACAAATTTGTAGATCAAAATTTATGCAGTAGACAGTCTGATCCAGCCTGAAAGAATGTTATAGACATCAATGAAAATAAATTATCACTAGTCAGTTCATCATATCATTCATAGAACTATATATATCATCCTGGATTAACAAGCACCTCCACATTCCTGTAGTTGTCCACATATAATATAACTTAATACAGTATTGTTTTATATTTGAATATGATACTGCTGCTTTAAATTTTTAAATGTTATTTTCTTGTGGAACAATGGATTATGTTCGTAATTCTTGGAAAATGCAAATTCTGCACAAGACATTTTTTAAATTGATAAAACAAAAACTGGTGTAAAATTTCTTTTTTGTTTGGCGTTTATTTCCCGTTTCTATGCTGTTCCATAACTACTTGCAGGGGAAACCCACCATTCTTACCCACATGATTCATGCTACTTGGAGACTTTTAATGAAAACAGTAGACTGGAAGGCCTGTGATACAAGGACAGAAGATTTCTAGATCAATAGATTTGTGAACCTCTTCCTTTACCAGCATGTCAAACAACAAGAATGAAGGAAGGGAACGTTCATAATGTAACTAATATTGACCAGGAATGAGGAAGATTCTATAATATACAGTACATGCCTTCAATAGGTAAGTGAACAGGGAAGATAATGGAGAAAGTAATACAATAAGAAAAACTTAATTTTAAGAAATGACAGTACAGGCATCTAAGAATGTTTTTTATTGGGATTGACTAGAATGATTTGTTGTTAGCTATGAAAATAAATGAGACATATGCCACCTTTTACAAGATATGAGAAAGGCAGCCAAACATTAATACTGAAACAGAGAAGCAAGTATAGAAAGTGAGTGATTTAATACAAATTGGAAGAAGACCTTAGAACAATAGATGGAAAAATAAAACCAGTATGAGAAGAGGCCAAACCTATAAAACATACCAGTACAGTACTACAAACCAGTAAGAAACAACTACACACCAGTGAGAAGAGACGAAGAAATTGCAAAATGTAAAACAGAACCCGGCCTATTCTATAAATTTATAAAAAGCAAATTGCAAGTGGAAAAATTAAATCCCAAGAGTACAAATGGGAGAAAGACTGAAGAGACCAAAAATGAAATGGGTGTAACACTAAATGTTCCAAAGTGTGTTCCAAAGTGCTGGGGAAGCTAAACAGAAATAAAGCAGTTGGACCAGCTGGAGTCTGGCTTTGGTAATGTGCATTTGAGATTAGTGCCCCACTGCAGATTATCTTCCAAACATCCTTACCAATAGGGAACCTGGCTGACATGAAAAAAAAGGCAAACATAGTTCCAAACTATAAGAATGGAAACAGGGCAGATCCACTACACTATAATTCATAAGCTTGGTCGTAAATCAATAGAAAAAATTATTAAAATCAAATGGACGGAGTACGTGGAAAGTAGCTACATAATAATGGACAGACAACTGGATTTCAAATGGGAGGGTTTTTATGTAACAAATCTACTTGGTTTCTACGTAATGCTGCAGGAATGGGAAGGTTGGGCCAATTGTATATTCCTGAACTTTAAAAAAAAAAAAAAAAACTTTGACAGAACCACACACACAGGAGAAGTCCCACACAGTTCTAACTTCTGAAAGTTTGAACACATTGACAGGGTGACAGGCAGGCTTCTAAATTTTATGAGAAATGTGTTAACGGACAAACACGAGCAGTGATCAGAGGAAATGTAACCAAGGGGAGAAATATCACTACCAGAGTACGTCAAGGTTTACTTCTTGCACTGATAATGTTTATTATATATATAAATGATCTACCAGAGGGAATACAATTACATTATGCTTGCAGATGATGCAAGCATAATAAGCATGCAAGCTCAATAACAAAATTGCTATGGAGAATTAGGTACTTAATGACTGTATTGACCTTCAAAATGACCTAGACAACATAATTTAGTGGAGATTATGGCAAATGGAATTCAGCATAAACAAATGCCATGGAATGCAGAAAAGAGAAGAACAGGACACACTTAACTTAAAAATTATGTAAAAAGATATTAAGAACCTCTGACAAGGAAAGAGATCTAGGAGTGGTTCTGGATGGTAAGTTGCCTCCGGAAGACTACTTAAAGGGTATTGTGAGAGAAACCTGTGCTACACTAGCAAATTTCAGGACTGTGTTTAAATATATGATGGAGAAATATTTAAGAGACTGATAACACAATTTTAGATCAAAATTGGAATATTCATCAGTGGTGTGTGGTGCCCATATCTCAAGAAGCATATTAACAAATTAGAAAGGATGCAAAGACATACTGTACTACTAAATGGCTCCTGGAACTTTAAAACATGAACTATGAGAAGAGGGTGGAGGCATTAAACATGCCAGTGCTAGAAGAAAGGAGGTGATATGATCACTATGTACAAAATAATAACAAGAATCTTTAAAAATAGACAACAAAGAATTTTTGAAATCGCCACTTCAAGAACATGTCAAAGATTCAAGTTAAGGAAACAAAGATGCCAAAAAATATAAAAAAGTTCTCTTTGCAAACAAAGTGGTAGACGGCTGGAACAATTTAAGTGAGGTGGTGGTGGAGGTCAAAACCATCAGTAGTTTCAAAGCATTATATGACAGTACTGGGAAGATGGGACACCACAAGTGTAGTTTTCATCATGTAACTACACACAATTCTAGTTTTTTTAGCTCCAATGAGTAGCAGCTCATTGAGCATTATGTTAGCCAAACCAGCTGGTAGAGTTCTTCAGTAAAGAATTTGTGTGCTTTTTTGTCATTAAAATTGAAGACAGATGAAATGCAGCTTCTCTACTGAAGAAAGTGTGATCCCAGACAAAATAAAGCATAAAGTACAATAACAACAACCAGCAGACTGCATATATATAAATTTTATCACAAAATCTGATGTGTAGGGTACTGTATTTACTTCCAGCTACTTGGTTATCATAAGTACTAGACGATACAGTGCTTGAAACATTCTCCGGTGTTGAGTGAGGCAATAATTTTCATGTTACACAGTTACTTCTGGTTCAACTCCATTTGTAGTTTGGGAAAGTGTTAGATGATCCGTTTCTTGTTGCTGTATGACTACAGAAAGTGATTCAATTTTAGCCTCCAGGCGAAGAACCATATTTCTGAGTTCTTCCAAGCGTGCATTTGGATCTGGAATAACAGTTCGTTGTGTTGCCACAGGATGAGAAGATGACCAAATAGAAGGCTGGCCATGTCCTGGTGTCATGTTAACAGCGTCATCTTCACCATCTGTATCACTCATAAAAGTCCAGCGCCAGGAAGATCGAACAGCTACATTTGTAGGTCTTATGTATGATGGCCCTCTGGTGAGTGTGGTTTGATTGATAGGCAGCTGTGTCTGTGCTAGTTGCCCTAATTGCCCTTGTCTTTGGTGCCCAGTTGCTCCAATTTGCAAAGCGCGAAGATGTAAGAGGCGTTCTCTCTTATCTAATTCATGCTCCCGCAGTGCCACATCAACAGCCTCTCTCATGAGCTGCGAGGGAAGTGATGGTTCAGGCTCAGGAGGAATGAACCCAGATATGAATATCTCAAACAGTTTAATCATCAGCCGTCGTGTTCCAATCACCCTGGAGAAGAACAGGAACAAACAGTCACTAAAACCCCGTTCGAGATTGGGGTAAACAGAGAGAGTGGGCTTCTCCTTAGATCCCATAATTCCAATACTGTTGAGGAGGCACTGTTGCAATTTCTGGGGAAGGAAACGATTCCTAAACAAAGCTTCCACCTGGATCATCAGCTCCACATGTCGTGTTAATCGTAGAACCTCTGACCTGAAATTATATAGATTATGTTAACTGCAGTTTTCATATATTTTAAATACAGTAATAAAATTAAAAATAAATAATACATCATAAATGGTAGTTATTTATCCTTTGCATAATTTAGTCGTTCTTTGTCGTTTATATATATTACACAAGATGATTCTTGGCACTTCACAGGAGACATCTCCCGTCACGCAGGGTGCAGTCCCACCTCCACAGATCTCCAGTATCAGCTCTTGATACTGGTAATGGCTCAAAAGGGCCACCACTTACAGGCTATTCATTCCCGGTTTGGTGCCTTCTTTTGATAATTACTTACTTACTTACAGGCTATTCATGCCCGTGCCACCTTTTGGGTGGCTTAATCATCATCATCATCATCATCATCATGGCACTTCCTCTCACTTACAGCCCCGCTCCTGTGCCAGGTAAGTCCACTACAGGCTCACCATAGCCCGTGCTACTGGGAACTTTTTGTTCCCAGTAGCTGAATCTTAAACAACAACAACAACTTGGCACTACCCTCCAGCTACACTTGGCCAAATATTTTGAAAATAAAGTTTCAAAATCATTTTTGTATAGTAATATTCACCATTCACTGATCTCTGGACAATTAACATTAATTTTATGTTATTCATACTGTACTTGGGTTGTAGTAGCATGAAACAGACAATCATCCCACAGGTTAGAAGGCTTTCTCAAGTCCTCACTCTTTCTCAAAGCAAATAGGTAAAATTACACGTTTTCAATATTTCACACACTATAGGTTCCTCCCATCGGTGGACCACCCACAAGTCCTCAAGGTTGAGTTATTACTTTTATAAGAAAGAGAGAGAAGGAGGGAGGGAGAGTGGGGGATGTGTGTGAAAGGAAAGATGATGAAGAGGCAGAGGGAGAGAGGAAAGAAAGTTGGAGAGTGGGAAAAGGGGAAGAGCAGGGAAAGGGTGGATATTGAGGAGAGAGAGACCCGTAAATAGCCACATATCCTTTCCCCCACCCCATCTCATGGGTTATATAAGACAGCATGAGATTACCCGTTTGATTTCCGTCCACTTACGGGCTATTCATGCCCGTGCCATCACCTCTTGGGTACAGTAACTTAATCCTTATCAATCAATCAATCTGTTTAACATTAAACACTGAAATTCTGGTATTCCTACCTCTGCTGTATGGCATACATGTCACTGACAGCGAGACCCACAAGGAGGTTGGAGAGGATGATGTAGACCAACACAATGAAAACCACCAAGATGAAAATACAGAGCACCGAGGAGCCAGATGGTTCGGCCAGGAAGGTAGACTCGTAGTCCAGCTCCCCCGTCATCATCACCTGTATGGACGACCCCATGTACACACATTATAATGACCCATGTACACACATTATAATGACCCATGTACACACATTATAATGACCCATGTACACATTATAATGACCCATGTACACACATTATAATGACCCATGTACACACACACACACAATATAATGACCCATGTACACACACATTATAATGTGGCACATATTACAGTGAATACTTCAATATATATTCTTTATAATAGTGAAGAGTGGTATTAATAACATTCTTAATAACAATAACAGTTATGGGTTATGAAGATGGTAAAAATATTTGAGATTCAAAGATAAAACGATACATAATTTAGACAGCTTGCTACATGTAGTCTCCCAGGTTTGATATATTCTTTAGATAATTACTTAGATATAACTATAGTATCGTAGGCTATTATTGGAGTAATTGTTTAAAGTTAATATTAAAATGGCTAAATTATTACTTACACCAACAAACTTTATTATAATTGTGCTATAAATATAGGGTAGTATCCTATTTCAAAGAATATAAACATACGGTGCGATAGCTTTACAAAATATTGGATGTAATAAATGGCTTCCACTAGTGTTCCCAACCGGGCCATGGCTCCCTGCAGGGCCTTTTATTTCCAATATGTAGGGACCCATAAGTTGAGGCAGTGTATAGGTTATGTTACCAGAGGGGGAACCTTTACTGAGTGTAGGGGGCCATTTAACTCCTGGGCGTGATTTTTGAGCCGAATTCTGACTCTCTGCACCTATTTTCATTTTCAAATTACGACTTTTTATACCGAAAATATGCCATTAATAACGACGCTATATGAAAAAGGGGTAATGACCATAAGGAGTTTGGGAACAACTGTTCTAAGTGATTGGGGGCATGTAAACCTATGGCTTACATGACCCCAATCACAGCTCTCGGCTTTGGCATAATTTCCACTAAAATCAGTTGAATAAACTATAGAAGAAAATAGACTTGACTAAAAGTAAAATTATATAGTGGTAGTTAACTATCCCCCTATATAACTATAAAAACTAGCAATATTTTCAAATGGGTGGGGAAGCTTTGAAATGTTAGTAAACTGGTTGAGGGAAATCGTTATCAGTAATAAAATTAGTTATATTCGCCCGTACAAAACAAATTATAACATTAAGAACCAAAATATGCAGTTTATTCAAAACTGGGGCAGGTATTGTACTTTATAAAGTAAAACTTTTGACCCATTTGAAAATATAAGTATTTTTAAAATGCTGCTCCTGCCTACGGGCAATTACTTAGAAAGAGCTCGACACTATGGAAATGTTAAATCATGAGTCTAAAAAGAACAGAATACAGGTGATCGGTAACGAAGAGAAAGGAGCAAGGTATATGTGATTGTAGGACAGTCATTTGTTTTATGGCTAAAAAATACATACATTTCAAAGAATTAAAATTTCAAGGTCAAATAAAAACTGCCTGACTTAACCTAACACGGCTTAGTTTGTTGATTGGGAAGATTTAGGGCCTATTACGTCGTCTAATTTAATTTTACGACAGTAATGTAAAAGCAATATAATTCCAATGTACCAATAAGTGGGTAGATACTAACCAGGGAGGTGATGAGGGCAGTGGCAGGCGTCCTGAAGGTGGGGAGTGAGCGCAGGAGGACGTAGAACCCCAGAGAGAAGGCCACCAACACGAAGACATACATGGCTAGAAACTTCAGCACATTTCTGGCCACGGTAGAGAACATGACGATGTAGACGCCACAGCTGGGGAACTGCCCTGTGAAGAGCATCAGCCTCACCCAGGCCAATATTATGGCAATAGCAGCAACACGCTGCTGCCATATTGCTAGGCAACACATTGCCAGTTCTCCATTGGTTGCTGTTTCATCTGCCGAACCTCCTACCAACAGCTGTGGCACACAGAATACTAAAGCAGCATCTAAGAGATTCCCAAGGTTGTAGATGTATATAAGCGGATTCTGCATCAGTTGGATAACTTCCCGAAAGTCGAGTAAGGCAGAAAAGATGACTAGACACCACCATGTTAGGCCCACCACCCCGGCCTCCTCCCCGGCCCACCGACACACAACAGTTGTACCGTTGCTCCCAGCTGTGTGACGGACCTTAGGCCTTCCTGTAAATGTCTCATTGTTGTCCTTATTAATACTCTCCGGGCAGTTACTGGATGACAGCAGGAAAGCAGTGAGACTCAATACAAAAAGAAAGTAAAATATAACATTAGCAAGAAAGTATTTTCGAACTTTTGACCATTTAAAGTGAAGGAAGGACTTGCAGAGTGAGTGAAGTAGGAGTTGCTTGCGCCCGGCCCACATGATATAATGCAACATAGCTACTTCAGAATCCCTAAGAAGCGGTGGTGGCAACTCTGATTGTGGGTTTAGTGGAGATTGACGGTGAATTTCTCTAAGTTGCTTAGAATTTACCGACAATGGACCAAAATCAAAGTCAAGACGAAGATGAGGAGAGTCGCGGGCAGACGTGTTGGCACACACTGATCTGTTAAGAGCCACAGGTACGAGTGAAGGGAAGCTTTCAACCATCCTCCACATGGCAAACCCGTCTTGTATACAGCTACCTTTAGCTACCAGCTGCTGCACAGCATGCAGGATATAATCTCTAGCTCCTGGACGACCCCACCACATGGTGCGCCGCAAGGCTAGAGATAGACCATTGTAGCCTTCATCATTCTTGGCAGCTACTGAAGCACCGTGCGACAAGAGCAGCTCCAAACATGCTCCGTCGAACTCGTCGTCCACGTAGTTAACCTGTCTCTTAGCTGCCAGGTGCAGAGCTGTGTGGCCCTGGGAGTCCCGGGAGTCTATGTTACACCCAAGCTCAAGCACGGCTGCCACAGCATCCAGAGACCGTGCTCCAAGGACGGAACAGTGTAGCGGCGTACGTCCTTCATTATCTTTTAAATTAACTGTAGCTTTGTAAGCCCCAGCAGCGAGGACTTTGATAAGTTTGGCACTGCCTGCAGTGGCGGCATTGTGTAAGGGCAAACGTCCTTCTCCATCTCTCAGACCACACCGTGCGCCCGCTCTCAGCAGCACCTCTACGACAGCTACCACACTACTGCTCTTGGGGTCTTGCTTATCAGCTCGAGCAGCGTAGTGGAGAGGGGTACTGGCGTGAGTGTCGAGTGGGTCCACATGGGCACCATGAGCAAGGAGGAGTCTTACTGTGGAAAGGTGCCCACCTCCAGCAGCCATGTGTAGTGGTGTAGCCCCTGCAGAGTCCGCTATGCTGACGTTAGCTCCTGCACCCAGTAACTCCGCCACAGCCTCCACGAAGCCATACTCTGAGGCACAGATGAGTGGCGTCTTGTTACCTAGAGCTGGTTCCCGGTGGTTGACTGGAAATCCCTGAAGTAACTGTGCTCGGACTCCTTGAATTTCTCGTGCCTTCAGTGCTTCCAGCAGCGCAATGAAACGTGCATCGGGCTTAGGGCCTCTACTGAGGGGTGTCCCTGGGTTTGAATCATCTACAGAAATATAACGAAATAGAGATTTCCTAACGGCCATGATCACTGCTACTGAGTGCAGCAAAACAAATGGTTACTGACGCATAATTATTGCCAGTAACAGAGAGTGGCAAAGCTTTGCACATAAGTTTCAGTAGTTTTATCTTATTTATCTTTCTTTAAAAGCTAGTCTTTGGTTTATTGCAACATTCACTGTTTGTAGATCAAGTTACAGAAACTTCAGTGATGCATGCCAGTGATCCCAAGTGGCACACATGGTTGACAGCTTAAGTAGTCATCTGCCTGTTCCAATGACGGTGTTGCTGTGGTGACCGTCCTTCAGTCCACAACTGTTGAAACACAAAAGTTATTGAAACATGGGATGGAAACTTCATTTGGACAAGCACATCTCATGATCTGTGGCTCTGTAAACAAAACAAAAGGGTAAGCTGATGAAATACGTTTTAAAATATAGGGTATTCAAATCCAGCACTAAAGTGGTATTATTATAACTACTTCTTATTTAAACGTCATCATTATGGAATCCGAGACCTTGCACTGAACTATATTCGATCATATCTTAATAAGAGACACATCAATATCAATAATATAACCTCCCTTACTTTTCCATTAACAGCTGGAGTCTGTGATTTCTGTGTGAAGTTGGGACGAAAGGTGTAGCACCACTCTGCTCTTCCACCCCAGTGAATATTATTATAATAATAATAATAATATTTTATTCAGGAAAGGTACATACATAGATGCAGAGTTAATGGAACACTTGATATATTGGACGTTTAGCCAAGATTGACCAAGGGCAAGCCGTGTGATTACAATGACCATCTGTAGCCGGTGGCTGAGTGGACAGAACACTGGACGTGTGATCCTGTAGTCCCGGGTTCGATCCCAGGCGCCGGCGAGAAACAATGGGCAGAGTTTCTTTCACCCCTGATGCCCCCTGTTACCTAGCAGTAAATTACATGGCAAATTCCTTGGCATTCTCATTGACCACAAGCTGAATTTCCAGGGACACATTCTAAATATATCAAAAAAAGTTTCAAAAACTGTGGGCATTCTTTCTAAGATCAGATATTATGTACCACGCCCTGCCCTGGTGACTCTCTATTACTCCCTTATCTATCCTTATCTCAACTATGGTATTTGTGCTTGGGGTTCTACTACCCAAAATCACTTACGTCCTCTAATTACCCAACACAAAGCCGCTATTAGAACAATATCCAACTCTGGCCCCAGACATCACTCGGTACCCCTACTCAAATCTCTGAATATGTTAGATATTAAGTCACTGCACATTCTCTCATGTGTATTATACATATATAAAACGCTAAACTATAATGCCAATCCTGATCTTAAAAGCTTCATAGAAGGTTGTAACAGAACCCATGAGCACCACACCAGAAATAAATACAGTTTTGATATTCCTAGAGTACGTCTTAATCAAACTAGAAATGCTCTGCAAATCAAGGGGCCCAGAATGTGGAATGACCTTCCCAACCATGTTAAAGACTGTACCTCTCTCAACCAGTTTAAGATAAAAACTAAACACTACCTAATAAATTCCCTGTAATCTACCTCACTCCTCTATTGTCAACCCATGTCTGTTATTTTCTTTTTTTTAATCAACACTGTTTGTCAACCTATTGTATTTGTGCTGCTTTTTCAGTCATGTTCCCCCTTTTTTTATCTTTATTTGTATTTGTTCTCAACACTTTTTATTCTTTATGCTCAATTAGTATTAAGTTCTAGATATTAATGTTTTTCTTGCCCGAAACGCATTGCGTAATAGTGGCTTTAGGCATTGTATGTACTAGCTCTATCTATATATCAATCCATTAATGTAACATCACTTGTATGTATATACCTTACCTGAATAAACATCTGAATCTGAATCTGAATCTGAATCTGAATCTAGGTACCTGGGAGTTAGTCAGCTGTCACGGGCTGCTTCCTGGTCGTGGAGGCCTGGTCGAGGACCGGGCCGCGGGGACACTAAGCCCCGAAATTATCTCAAGATAAACTCAAGATAAACTCCTAGATCCCTCTTTTCATCAATCAGGTGCATAGTAGTGTTGGTGATGTGACAATTGTGATGTTCATCATTATGCTCTACATAATACAGGGTCTTGCAGTTGTCAAATTCCTCGCTCATGACGACCGTCTTCCCACACCAGATGGAACACCTTTAAGGAGACAAATGTAGTCTATGTCTTTACATGCCTACTTGGGGGCCTACCAACCCCGGTGCTCTCAATATATAGGCAGGACAACGAAGAGAATGACCTTGCGGTCCAAATCCATCACTCACTGAAAGTTACACAACAGGTGGGAGCAGCAGTAAAAAAAGTTAACCGAACACTTGGAATAATCAAGCGTGTCTTTGACGTTAAGGAAAAGAAGGCAGTGATTCAACTGAATAAATCTCTGGTGCGCCCCCCCCCCCCCACCTCGTTTGGATTACTGTATCCAAGCATGGAGACCTCATCTTCAGAAGGACATAGCTGCTCTGGAGAAAGGGCAACGCCGGGCAACAAAAATCATTCCAGAACTAACTCAACTCGCGTCTCAGGAACAGTTGAGGGCCACAGGGCTAACATTTAACACTACACACCAGGTATGACAAAGCGATCTTATTGAAACTGTCAAAATACTGAACAGTTTGGAAGAGGTTGATCTAGACAATTTTTTCAAAAGGTCAGTGAAAAGGTCAATGGCTGATCAGATGTAACACAAACAAAGATCAACGGTTTCAAGTTCAACAAGCCACAGTGTTAGACTGAGAATAGGAAATGCCTTTCCGCCTATAGGGTTATAAACCCACGGAACCGCCTACTCACCGAAGCTGTAAATACCAAAACTATGTTAAATTTTAAAATACAGCTGGAAAAGATCCAGGCAAATAGGGGAGGTCTTTCGACAAGCCGCCGGCTTCCTGTCCTCGTCGAGGCCACTAGTGTTAGTGGCTCTCAGGTAAAAAAAATCCATTAAATTTATTCTTTCAAACAGTCAGGGTACAACACTTGATACCCAATTACAGCTGGATGAAAAGGAGCGACCAGTTAAGGCTTGGTGCCCAATCAATCCTCCCTTGACAGGGCTCGATCCCAGACGAAATTGCTGGCGGGTCGAGTATGCAACACCTATAACAGTCACTGTAACTCTTCCATTATATTCAGTTAAACTCGTCTGATCAACGCATAAAAAGAGTCTCGTGTTAATTGATAGCCGACGACGTAGGGATCCCGGTAAGAATTATTCAGGCTGGAATAACAGAGAAGGGATCATAATAAAGCAATTTGTCGACACAGAGGCCGACAAAAATCAAGAATACTCTAACAAATAAAAAGAGGCAACAATGAAGTTTCAAGTTGCCTGGGTACTGACACTCTGTTTGTAAACACAAGATGAGACTTTCCCACACCTCCCAGCTGCACACACAGGCTTGGATCACCTCCTCTATAGGCTCCACACACAGGCTTGGATCACCTCCTCTATAGGCTCCACACACAGGCTTGGATCACCTCCTCTATAGGCTGCACACACAGGCTTGGATCACCTCCTCTATAGGCTCCACACACAGGCTTGGATCACCTCCTCTATAGGCTCCACACACAGGCTTGGATCACCTCCTCTATAGGCTCCACACACAGGCTTGGATCACATAATAGTAAGATTCCTATACAACCTCCCACGAAATTACAGAAAAACCGAGAAGGGAGAATGACAGAAACAACAGGAGCTGCATTACTGTCCCCCGAAGAGTTACGACAGCTTCAGACAATAATGTGTCTTGTGTCTTAATCACAGGTTCAAGTTCAAGTTCATGTTTATTGAGACAAGAAAGAAATACATCTCAAAGGGATAGAGTAACTTAGGCTATTTCTACCCCCCTTAATCATAGGGGAGTTCAACCGTGTTAAGATAAACTGGAAGGATAGTGAACCCTAGGGGGATAGCAAGACATGGAGAGCTAAAGGAATAGACGTGACAATCAGAAACATCGTACGTGAACGTGCCGGTGAGAATGAGTGGTAATGATCAGGCAGCCAGTCAAGACCTGGTGATAGTCACTCAGTGTCAGATATAAAGGACATTTAAGTATGTTATGAAGGAGATGCACTGTCAGGGGCCACAACCAGAGGGAGAAGGCTGGCATACTGAAATTGAAATTGAAATTGAAATAAGTTTATTGAGGTAAAATACACACAAAGGGATGAGGTAGGTCAAGCTATTCTCACCCCGTTCAGTACATCGTGTTAATACATACATAGACACACATCACAAACAATAAACATATTACCGAACATTCTGAGAGATAAACATATACATTTCCTCCTTTACACAAGTAGTATGGTATCAGACGTACACACAAATACTTTTATGACCTAGGTATACTGTATAGACAGGCATACTGAAGGGAAAGGAATGAATAAGTGAGATACTTTCTCCCAGGTGTCTCACCTTGAGCTCTATTTCAACATGGGGAAATACAGCTCGTAAAGATGCCATAAAAATTTTTGAACATTTCAATAAGTAATGCTGGGAAGCAGCCAACCAATTTATCCCTGTTGAAAGGAAGGATATTGACATTGGACCAACTTAAGGTTTAACCAAGACTGTAAAGAAGCAGAGTGCACCAGCACGAGGTCATGGACAACTGCAAGAACAAAATAACAAGAGAGCAACGACGGGAACCACAGCGCCAGATCTATGGTCTTCTGAGCGAGGACAGCAGAAGGGATAATTGAAAATGCCACTGCAGGTAAACAAGGACATTGCAGGTTGCTTCACAGCCATATTAGGAGGAAAAGAACAGATGAGAATCAGGTGATGAAACTGAGGCTAGGAGGAACTCATTCACTTAGAAGGACAAAAGTGTGTGTGCAAAACTCAACAAGAGATTCCCGGTGTTGGCTATAGAGCAAGAGCAAGTTTCTGAACTGGGAGATGGAATATCGCCATCAGCATTGACTTGAGCTAACCAGGAATGAAGTGAGAAGCCACTTGCTGGGGCTGGACATGACTAAGGAGCTCGAATCACATAGGATCTTTCCATACTATCCATACGCCGGACTATATAGCACAGGGAAGGGGTCAGGATAAGGATTTGGGATGGGACGGGGGGAAGGAATGGTGCCCAACCACTTAAACGGTCGTGGATTGAACGCCGACCTGGATGAAGCGAGACGGTCGCTCTACCGTCCATCCCAAGTGGTTGGGTGAAGCTGTGGAAGAGACTCCATACACAGCTTCAAATGTAGATATGACAGAGCCCAATAGGCTTTCCTTCCCACACCTCTCGTGGGGTGCCGTGGCCGGCCCCCCTCAGCCA